CTTAATTTTGTCAGACGGTTGTTGAGTTTTGTTTAGCAGGGAGTCAAATTACTGGAGGATAACTTTTATCTTATGTCTAACTGTCATATACAGTGATTATTCTAGGGAGATAGTGTTAGGGGAGAGGGAGAATGTAGTTTGGAAAAAACTACGCTGACTCCTGAGGAAAATCACTGGTAAACCATTGTGACTACTCTGCTAAATTGCCTTTCTTGACATTGTCAACCTGAAGTAATAAAAAGGATCAGAATCTGGAATTAATGCAAGCAGAAAGCTAACCAACCAGGGAAAACACAGACTTCAGAAAACGGGGTCAGTGTTCCAAAGTTAGAAGTTCAGTTCTTGCAGGCCAGGTGCAGTGGCTCATGCCTTTAATCCCAGCACTTTGGGAGGCTGAGATGGGTGGATCACTCGCGTTCAGGAGTTCAAGACCAGCCTAGCCAACATGGTGAAACCCCATCTCTACCAAAAATACAAAAATTAACGGGGTGCAGGGTGGTGCATGACTGTCATCCCAGCTACTTGGGAGGCCAAGGCAGGAGAATCCCAGGCAGCAGAGGTTGCAGTGAGCTGAGGTCATGCCACTGCACTCCAGCCTGGGCAACAGAGTTAAGACTCTGTCTCAAAAAATAAAAAGTTCTCGCTTATATAGGTGGAAAATACAGTTTAGTAGGATTATAATATTTTCTATATAAGGCTACTTTATGAGTTAGAGTCATAGTTTAGTTACAGTTTGTTTTCTTTTCCCTGTGGCTTTTCTTTACAGCTGGTTTTCATTTTCTTTCCAATTTAAAAATAGTGTATTTACCATTCCATTTTAAGACAATTTGATAGCCTTGAAGTCTTTGTGTAAGAAAGGTAAGAGGGAAATTAATCTACCATGAAGATCAACAGTGAAGAGGGAAGGGGTCTTCCCTGGAGCCATTTAGTCATTTACAGCATTTATAAAACAATGCAGTAAGGGAGGAGGCTAATCTATAACCAGAGAAAGAAAGATTACAGCTGCCTAGGATATAGCTGCCTATTATGTCACTCTGGCCCCATAATTACATTTCTTTAAGGCTCAAAGTAATTCAGATTTCCAACAGCTTAGATTTTGAATTATATATTTTCATAGCATATAATAGTATATCTAAACCATAAAGTTTTTATGCCCTGCCCACCAAATGATGCACATAGATTTTATCACTGGAATATAAATTTGAAATTAAAGAATATATAATGCTTTAAAAAGTGAAATGTCTATAATTGGGAATTTTAATTGATTACAAATGCTGTTAAGTTCAAGAAATAGAGCTGGGTAAAGAAACTCTGTTTGTAATCTTTTTCAGTATTTTTATAGTTGGGGAAAAAATACAGCAAATTCTTCATTAGCTGAAATCTTTGGAGGAGAATGAGTAATTGACATTTAAGAATTAATATGCTAAAATATATTTTTTCATCATTATCAATTAAAATATTTTTGAAATATGTTCTTTCCTTAAGTATGAAAGGGAATTTAATAGTATTGAGTAGGGTACATATAATATACAGATAATTTTTTTTAATTTTCCCTTATACAGTGTTTGATACTTTAACCACTCTTTCTTAAATTCATCTTACTTCCTTGGCTTTCTTGATATCAGTTTCTACTGGTTTCCCTTGTTATCTTTTAATTTGTGCCGATATCTTTGCAGTCTCATTTATGGGTTCCTGTTTCCTCTAGCCCTTTCCTTCTTCTTGCCTCCTTTGCACAAATATTTAGTGACAGATTTAACTGCCCTTGGGGCTGTGTGCATACAGAGGTGAGCAAAACAGGCTATTTCCCCATTAAATAAGTAAATGCTGAATATCTTCACAAATATTGGTAAGTATTGAGATCATCCTTTGTAACTATTTTTCATTTTTTGCCTGAGAAGTCTTCTGAAGAGGGAGAATATTTTATTCACCCTCGAATATCCAACACAGAGTATAGCACCTGTCACAGAGAATAGGCTCAGTAAATGTTTGTAGAAGGAATGTACAATGTGAGACTTGCTAATATCTAAGAAATATATTGGCCTGGAAATATAGTCCAATACAGTAGCCACTAGTCACACATGAATTTATTTAAATTTACATTAATGAAAAGTAAATAAAATTTCAGTTAGTTTGTTGTACTAGCCATATTTGAAGTGTATAGTCACCATAGATGGCTTGTGACTACTGTTTACAGATAGTATAGATACAGAACATTTCCATCATTATTCAAAGTTTTATTGGACAAGTGCCAGAGGATTGTTACCTCTACACTTTGTGGCTCTAATTTGTCTTACTGTTATTAGTTAGGTTTATTGATTTTATTGTTTCTCTACCTCTTTTTCTTTTTTGTCTGCTCTCACTTTTGTTTCTGTCTTATAATTTGCTGTTTCATTATTTCTAGTTTTTAACTAGTTTTATCAGTTATCAAGTTTGTGACTGTCATTTCTAGTCTGTCATTTCTTCCAGGATTTCTGATTCAAATATACATAGATAAAGTTGCAGATAAATGGAGATATTTTGTAAACGGTTTCGATCATTTTTGCATGAGTGTTCTCTAAAGCAGTTTTTACATTCATACACATTGCTTTCCTGGTATGCTCTCTTAAAAATTGCTTCTACCTACAGTTTGCAGTCTGTGTTGGAAGATCTCCTGGTTGCTACTTCTGATGGACTTCTTCATCTTATTCACTGGGAAGGAATAACAAATGGAAGGAAAGCCATTAATCTTTGCACAGTACCCTTTTCTGTAGACCTGCAGTCATCTAGAGGTACCTATACTTTATACATGAGGTGGAACCAGTTGTTTATGTCTGATATCTAGTTAGATATCTTCTATGGACGAACACTTCTTTGGAACCAGTTATGCAAGGGGAGAGGCGGGGTGGGAGAGGCATTTAGTAGGAAAGGACAGTTTAACTGTTGAGGGTTGTTAGGTCATTATTTTTGCCCTTTTAACCTTACAGGTTTTGCTGACAAAAGGTGAGAGACTAGCTGACTGTATTCTTAATCCTATTTCATGTGCTTATTTTTTTCATCAGTAGGTTCATTCCTGGGCTTCACAGATGTACACATCAGAGACATGGAATACTGTGCCACACTTGATGGGTTTGCTGTTGTATTTAATGATGGTAAAGTTGGATTTATTACACCAGTGTCAAGTAGATTTACTGCAGAGGTATGGCTTACTTACTTTGAAGGGACCTTTTTTGCACTTAATTATTTTATTCTTTGTTATCAAATTCTTCTTTATTTTTATCATTCATATGATTTTAAGAGTTGTTAATTTTTTAATCAAACCAAACATATAAATAGTGTAAGTAGACAAAATTCTCTTGGACATGTTAAAGAAAAATGATGGTTCCTGTTCTCCTCCTTGCTACCCTTATGTCTAATTTTCCACTCTTCGAGGCAACTGCTTTTTATTCCTTTACTGGTTATTTTGATTTTTAATCTCCACTACTCTGAATATTTTCTTTAATTTTTAGTTTTTGGGCTCTGTTTATTGACTTCTTACTTTGGAAAGTGACCAGTAACTTTCCTCTTCCCTGCTTCCACCATGCTTATATTCTTCCCATGTTCCCATTAGAGTTACTGTGATTTTGATTATTACTATTAATTGTATATTTTTGGCTGGGCACAGTGGCTCACACCTGTAATCTCAGCCCTTCGGGAGGCTGAGGCAGGCGAATCATGAGGTCAGGAGTTCCAGACCATCCTCCCAACATACAGAAACCCCATCTCTACAAAAATACAGAAATTAGCCAGGCATGGTGGTACATGCCTGTAGTCCCAGCTACTCAGGAGGCTGAGGCAGGAGAATCACTTGGACCCGGGAGGTGGAGGTTGTGGTGAGCCAAGATCACGCCACTGCACTCAAGCCTGGGCAACAGACTGAGACTCTGTCTCAGGAAAAAAAAAAAGTTTTTAATATATAAAACACAGCTGTATTTTTTGGCTTTCTGACAAAATTATTCTGAGATTCCTTTTACTCTTATTTGTGTGGGATCTTTTAATAGCTAATTTATATATGGATTTGGCTGCTGTTACAGAGAACTAAAATAAAAGTGATGTGTTGAAAACTGAGTTTTGGTTGACTGTGTCCTTTACTGTAGGATAGGCTGACTATTTCCTTGGGACCCTCCTAGCTTTAGAGTCATACCCTTCCCTCTCTCCCTCCCTTCTGTTCCCCTCTCCCTCCCTTCTGGCTCCAGTGTTCTTGGAAAAGAGTCCTGCAGTCCTTTCTAGTAGATATATACTTAGCTACCCCAATATTCTGGGATTTGGATTACAGAAGAGTTAGGGTAGAGGGTCCAAATTCAAGGTGTGAACCTTTGCTTTCCATCCCTATTTTCAGTGTGGTCCATAGACCTCTGGTGGAGGGTATGAGGGTAGGGATTTTTTGGTTTGGTTTTCTCCGAAGAAAGATGCTCAGTTTTCTGAAGGAGTAGAGTTGGGGAATTTATTGACTGCTCAGCTTTAGGAAAGTGCTCTGGGAGGACCTAGTTGCTTCTTGAAGTAGGTATTGAACCACTTTTACAGCTTTTAGTTTAGCCTTTCAAAGACACCAGAATTCCCAAGCCTTTTGTGTACCCTACAATGTAAATTTAGATGTTTCTCAGCATTATTCCCTGCCAGTTAAGAATTCTACTCATCGATAGGCTTTCCAGCTTTTAAAATTTTCTAATGCCGCCTCCTCTCCTATTCTTTTTGTCTTTGCCGCTTTATGCTTTTTTAAACAAAAACTCTTCTCTTGTAGAAGTTAGGGTTTTAGGAATCCAAGAAGCTAAATATTTACATTTAGTCATCTCTCTTTAACTAGAAAGGAATTTAAGTTTTTAATGGCCTTTTTGTTGTTGTTGTCATTCTGTTTGGTATCAGCTTTTATAGTCTAATATCTTCCATTATCAACTTTATTCAGATAGTAAGATACTAAATAATACCTTCGTGATCACCTGTGTCAATATGTAAATAAGAATAAAAATAAACTTTTGATGAATTAGAAAAAAATCTCATTTTTCTCCTATATGGTGCATATATTTGTAATTATCTCTGGAACTTAAATGTTTAGATTGGAAATAAAAGTATTAGGGCTGAAAAAGTGATTGACTCTTTTCCAAGTACTTTAGAGGTAGTAGAAAATATATTCTCAGCATTTATTAGTATGTAATATAAAGAAATTTTTCTAATAAGGATTTAAAAACTAATGAAAAGCATTACTAAATAAGGTATAGATAGAAAATACAAATTACAAGAAAACAACACATATGTATTACTGGTAATAAGGAAATAACTAAATGATATTTAATAAATACGTTGAAATATGATTATGTCAGTCCTCTGTGAAGACTTAGTAGGACTAGATAATTAGGACAGAACCTTCTAAGGAGTAAAAGAGCTGGAGAAAAAAATACATGTTTTAGTATGCTTGAAGGCCTTGGAGAGCAAACAAGACAGTGAAGAGTTACCAGACTAAGAGAGGGCAGCAACCCAGTGAGCTAAGCTCATTATTTAAGCCTGCAGTGAACATGAACAAACTAGGCTTTATGCAGCAACACAGATAAATTTCACAGACATGGTGAGCAAAAGCAGCTAGACACAAAAGAATACATGCTATGATTCCATTTTAGGTAAAAATTAAAGGGCAAATAACACAGGCAGTTCTAAATTAGAGGTACATACTGGTGCACGTTTAAGTGGAATGGTTTAAAAGAAAGAAGGAAGTGGTTACCATGTAAATCTGGATATTGGTTACTTTTATGGTAGGGATATGAGGATATAGTGATTGGGAAGGGCACTACTGTATTGGGAGACTTTTGGGTACTGATAATTCTTGGCCTGAGTAGCAGTTTCACAGGTGTTTGCTTTGTGATATTATTGAAATTTGCATTTCATTTTTATGTATTATTATAATTCATGACAGAAAACATTAAAAATTAAAATTCTTCTTCTACATAACTGGGAGAAAAAGCCAGAATTCTTATGGTGACCTTCAAAGCCCTAAATACCTGACCTCCTGTTATATCTCTTACCGCAGATACCACTTTCCTTTCACAGCCCATCTACTTCACTCTATCCACACAAGCCTCATTGCTGGTCTTTGAGCATGCCAGAAATGCTACTACAAGAGGGCCCTTAACACTTGCTTTATTTCTTTAAGGACTTTCCTCAAAAGGCGTCCTTATAGGGAAACCTGTTTAATATTACACTCTTCCCCTGTACTCCGTCTTCACCACCATTGCTTAATTTTTTTTGTATAGTATTTACTAACCTCTAATATACATTATACTTTTTTTTCACAAGTCGATGGTATTTAGTGTATTCATATACAGTATACTTTTTTAACTTGTTTGTCCCTTGACTCAAATGTAAGGCAAGGATACAAGTAGAGATTTTGCTGTGCCAGGATAACCTCAGCACCTAGAGCAGTGCCTGGTGAATTGTAAACACCTAGAAAATACTTAAAGGATGAATTTTCAGTCTAAGCAGTAGTTCAGAAAAGTAGTGCTCACTGCTCTTTTTACCATTTTGTGACATAAAATGTCCGGTTTTATTATTAAAATTGAATAATAAAATCCCTACTAAAAAAGCAAATATTCCATGTTTAGATAGATTATATAGCTGATTTTGGAATTAACTGAAATCTGTAGTAGTCTAGTTCAAATCGTTGTGATTATATTGTATCTTTAGTGTTTACTGTTGGGATCATCCAAAAATGCTATATTATAGTATGCCACTTTTTGTGCCAGCTGAACTAATGATCATGACCTTTGCCTTGGAATTTATCATCTAAACTGAGCTGAATCTATTCTGTATCTATATATGGAATTAAATAGCATATACGCTTACCAGTAACGTCATTCATTTGTTGAATGCTTGTTGAATGGGAGGCATTGTCCTAAATAGTTTGCATGTATATCTTCATTTAATCTTTGAAACACCTTAAGAGGTAAATAACTTACAGATAAGAAAACTGAAGCTTAAAAAGATCAAATAATCATTTTGGGGAGTGAAAGTAGTCCTGAGCTGTCAGGCTTCCGGATACCATGCTATTAACCATTACATTATGAAGAACGGGAATTGTAGAGAGCAGTAAGCAATTGAGAAATCATGAATTGCTTCTAAAGAATAAACCAAACAGAATGTACTACTTTTCATTGACTGAGAAGTTAAATACTAGGTGATTAGAATAATAATAGTGAGCAAGTTAGATGCGATTTCTGCTATCAAAATGTTTACATTCTAACAAGAAAGTTATCTTTGAGTTTGGAGATTGAATTTCCACATTTTAGGGTTTTTTAAATAGATTAACTAGCATTGGACTGAGCTCAGTATTTATGAGACCAATTCATGAGAAGCTTGAGGTTTTAAGGGAGACTATTGTGGTAGTCCTGGTAGGATAATTTCCTCTGCAGACGAAACCAAATAAGCGTTATGAAATTGTATGTTTACTGAAGGAGAATTATATTGACTAATGTAAATTTGGAGAAACACTTTTTAAGCCTTAACTGTTTTTCTTTATTATAGCAGCTTCATGGAGTTTGGCCACAAGATGTTGTTGATGGAACATGTGTAGCAGTAAATAACAAGTATCGACTAATGGCATTTGGCTGTGTGAGGTATAATTGATGTAGACTTTTGCATTTTTAAGAGTTGTTGCCACAAATACTGTTTTTTTTTAACATAAGATGTTCATAACACACTTATAAACTTTATCATGCTATCATAATTTGTCAGTCAACCTTAATATGAAATGTAAAAGTGAAGTGTTTTATTAGATTTTCAACAAACAAAAGTGAAGGGCAGATTATGGAGGTTGAGCGTTTTAATTTGTAAAAGTAAGTGTTTTCTTCAATGGTAGAAAATTGACTTACAAGTTAAACAGAATAAATCAGTTAAAGTTCTTTATTGTGTAAAAGAGGATTTAAAAGATATTTTTCCTTTTTAAAATAATCCTTAATTTTTTTTTAATAATCCTTAATTTTTAAGACATCAGAATCGACTATGCCTTCAAATTAGTGAGTGCACCTCAGTTAACAAGCAAATGTAAAGTGCACGTATAAAACCAGTTTCTTGCATTAGTTTATTAGAGATTTTAGAAATAATATTTTTAAAAGTTATTTATTCAACAAATATCCGTGTGCCTATCACATATCAGCCATAGTTCTAAGCACTTGATACATTAGACAACAAAAATACCAAACTTTGTTGAGCTTAAATTTTGGCTCATAAATTTTAGCTAAAATAAAAAGATTATGTTGTTATAATGCCTTGCAATGTTATAGTGCTTTTTGGTTTTCTAAACTCTTTCTTAAATATAAAGCCCTATGTTGCCCTCAAAATGTGACTTGGTTGTTTTGTAGAACACATTTATAGTATAGTCTCCAGCCATATCATCTCTACCCGATTTAAATATCAAAGATTTTATTATTAGTATAAGTAATTCACATATTATAAATCACCTTCATTACACTCTTTATGAACTCCTTCTAAAAGGGGGAATCCTCATCCCCAACTTTGACTTTTTCTTAATACGTTGATCCTCATTGAGCAGTTAAATGTAGAAATTCAGGTAGGTTTAACTTAGTACAAGAGAGAAGGAAAAGCATTTTTTTAATGTTTGTGAATTTTGTTGAGTCACATTTTGTTTACAATTTTAAAATCTATGCTCATGAGTACATTTCACCTATAATTTTCCTCCTTACTCTCCTGAGTAACTAAGGTTATGGCTGTCTTATAAAGCAAGTTGAGGGAGGGATTCCCCTCTTTGTCATCTCTATTCATCTTTGATTGCTTGGTAGAATTTGCCAATGAGAAGCCATCTGGACCTAGAATTTTCTTATTGGGGATTTTTTTGTATTATTGATTCAGTTTAGTTTTAAAAATAGATTTAAGAGGATTTAGATTTTCTCTCTCTTCCTACGTCATTTTGGCAAGTTGTATTTTTCTAGGAATTGGTTTCTTTCATATACACATTCAAACTTATTAGCATAAAGTTGATAATACCCTTTTTATTTCACATTGTGAAACAAAAACGTACACACAAAGTAGTACATAATCCAAATATTCATATTTTAACAGTTGTAATACAAAAACCCATCTCTTTACAACTGGATCAGTAAATACAACATTGCCGGTCTACAGTCACAGACTCTACCTCTGCTACTTCCTAGTCACAACTCTTATTCCCTCCTTTACTCACTTAGTAACCAGTCAACATTGTGAGATTCATCCATGTCATTTACCAGTAGTTATAATCATTCTCTAAATTGATTTGTAATGTTCCATTTTTTTAATATACCATAATTTATGCACTTTGCTGTTGACATACATTTGCCTTATCTCTTGGTTTCCAAAAAAGGAGACATTCTCTTGTATAAATGGAATATCTTTATCACATGTGAGATAATTAATGATAAATCCCTAATAGGATCTAAAACCCAATTTATAAGCAGATTAACCCAGTTGCCACCAATAGTTAAATTTCTTCTCTACCTCCTTTGTTCCAACGAGAATCGATCAAGATTCATTAGTTATATTTGGTTATTATTTCTCTTTAGTTATCTTTTACCTATAATAATCCTTCTATCACTTTTTTTATTTTCATGGCATTGACTTTTTTTGAGTCCATGTCAATTCTTTATAGAATATCCTACATCCTAGATTTGCCTCATCGTTTTCTCATGATGGCATTTGTTTTTTCTCACACTTGTCATTACTAACCTGGAAGCTGGTTCTTGTTGAGCAATACAGTCAAGTGACTAGAAAGCCCACATGTCAGGCATGGAAAAGCATTTAGAGAAAATACACAAAGACAGAAGCAGTGGCAAGTGTGCAGTTCCCCCATTTCCTGCATTTGGGGGCTAGCGCAAAGGCTGGGTGTTAGAGTCCAGAAGATGTACTTCTCCTTAAGCTATGGCCTTATAAGCGAAGTACTAGCCCTCTCCCCAGAATAATGAAGGTAGACTCTTGGCTTATAGCTTTTCGGTTACCTCAGTTTTCATCAGCTGGGAGACAACAAGCTCTCTTCCAGCATGTTAATGGGTTAGGGTTAAAGTTTTGTGATTGTAGCTGTGTGACATAACAAACCAGTGTCTTCTAACCCAGATTTGCCAGCACTTACCAGGACTAATTGCCTTGAACACTAGGTTAAAGCTGGTGTCCTTAGAGTTGTGCAAGAAGCCAGCTTCCTTTTAGGATGCCAGTTTGCAGCAGATCAGTATTTGAACAACCTTCCTCTTATCTTTATATTTAAAGATACTATTAGATTCTGGTTACACATTTTGTCATGGGTGATAATACATACTTCCTATGGTATCATTTAGTAATAATGTCAAATTGTCTCCATATTAATGATGCTAAATTTGATCACTTATGTGGCAGTAGCCATATCTCTCTTACAGAGGTTTATTTGCTTTGGAGTTAGTCCTATATTTTTAATGAGAATCTATTTTTCTCTTACATAAGGCTGGTGAGAAATGGAAGTAAAAGTAATTTTAAAAATACAGGCACTACAGAATACTTAAAAGATTGTCAGACTTTTATAAGCAGTAACTCAGTGCCTACTTGTTATTTAAAACATTGACTCCTCACTAACATTTTAGAGCTCAGCAACCCAGGGTTAGCAGTTGACAGCTGTAGATGCAAAGCAAATACAAATACCTGCTACGCACTTAGTCTGTCTCTCAGCAAGAGATGATCTATTTGGGCAGATAGTCTGTAAAGAAATCTTTTCCAGATATTTGGCTTCTGGGTATGACTGAATGACAGATTAGATTTTCCCTTCCATCTGATACAGCCAAAAAAAATGGACAAAAATATGCAAGAGCTGTTTTGAATTCAAGACAGGAACATAAAGTAACAAAGGACAGTGACTTCTGAAAGATGAGAAACAAAATGATCTCTATAACTGCCCTTAGTTTATATTATTTTGAGTGTTTGTAGGATGCAGCACAGGAATGTGGAGATAGATCCTGAGCTGAGATGAGCACATGGAAATCAGAGAATCTGGGGGAACCAAGGGACCTAGAGTTCATAATATAGACACCAAAGAGGTGGCACAAAGACAGAACTTCAGAGAGCTGTAAGGTGTCCCTCTTGGATATTAAACTGAGACATAGAAAATATTAGAAAAAGACTGAAATTAAACTTCTAGAGGTGAAAACTGTAATGTCTGAGATGAAAAATACACTGTATGGAACTAACAACAGATTAGACATTGCAGAAGAAAAGGTTAATGAACTTGAAAAACTTAGAAATTATCCAAAATGGAACACATAAAGAAAAAAAAAAAAAAAAACAGAGTATCAGTATGCTATGAGACAACTTTAAGGAGGCTGCTATTGCAGATATTTTATTTACTTAGTCTCAGTTCTAATCCTTGAGACAGGACCTGTATGGGAATGTATCAAAGCTGCTGTGAAGAAACAATCTGATTTCTCCTACCACAATAAAACATTCTGATAGTCATAAACCAGTGTCATCCTATTATGTGCAAAAGCAATCTTATGTTAAAAAGTCTTTTTAAGAATAACATTTGTTTCTCTTTCTTACTACAATAATGTTGCATAAGTAGGAGCTTCATTTTCAAATGCTGAATGTGCGTTAAATTTTTGAACCGAGACTATACCACAAGCACAAATGAGACTTTTCTGTTATCATTGTAGTTCAATTTTGAAATGTACCTTAGAAGTATTATAGAGATTTTACTTTTGGCTTCAGACCCTTCATAAATTTGACCTTGTAAAAATGTTTTAAATAATTATATATACACAAAACGTATACATTTTAAAATAAAATCTTTATAAGTTATCATCCAGCATAAGAAATAGTAAATACCTCAGCAGTGCTGATGAAGCCTGCTGTTTATCCCTTTTCTTTGATACTCCCCTTTCTCTGCCAGAGTATCACTAATCTGAAATTTGTATACATTAATTCTTCATTGTATTTTTTACCACAAATATATTTACCATTAATACTATATAACTGCTATATTTATCAAATATGTATATTTATATTTGCTGTGCTTTTACACACACACATACACTTTTGTGTGTGTGTGTGTGTGTGTGTGTGTGTGTGTGTGTATCTATAAGATATCTTAAATATATGTACTGTTGACTGTTGAACAACCCAGTAAGAGGCACTAACTGCCTCACACAGTTGAAAATTTGCATATAACTTTTTACTCCTTCCAGGACTTTAAACTACTTTTTTTTTTTTTTTTTTTGAGACGGAGTTTCGCTCTTGTTACCCAGGCTGGTGTGCAATGGCGCGATCTCGGCTCACCGCAACCTCCGTCTCCTGGGTTCAGGCAATTCTCCTGCCTCAGCCTCCTGAGTAGCTGGGATTACAAGCACGTGCCACCATGCCCAGCTAATTTTTTGTAGTTTTAGTAGAGACGGGGTTTCACCGTGTTGACCAGGATGATCTCGATCTCTTGACCTCGTGATCCACCCGCCTCGGCCTCCCAAAGTGCTGGGATTACAGGCGTGAGCCACCGCGCCCAGCCAACTTTTAACTACTAATAGCATACTGTTGACTGGAAACTTTATTGACAGTATAGTCAATTAACACATACTTTTTATGTTATATATATTAATATTATATATTGTATTCTGACAATAAGCTAGAGAAAAAATTATTAAGAAAATTATAAGGAAGAGGCTGGACTCGGTGGCTCACGCCTGTAATCCCACCACTTTGGGAGGCTGAGGTGGGCGGATCATGAGGTCAGGAGTTCGAGACCAGCCTGGCCAGTATGGTGAAACCCCGTCTCCACTAAAAATACAAAAATTACCCGAGTGTGGTGGCTCATGCCTGTAATCCCAGCTATTAGGGAGGCTGAGGCAGCAGTGAGCCGAGATGGTGCCACTGCACTCTAGCCAGGGCAACAGAGTGAGACTAGGTCTCAAAAAAAAATATATATATATATATATATTATAAGGAAGAAATAATGTATTTACTATTAAGTGAAAGTGGATCATCACAGAGGCCTTCATTCTCACTATCTTCATGCTGAATAGGCTGAGGAAGAGAAGGAGGAAAAGGAGGAGTTGGTCATGGTATCTCAGGGGTGGCAGAGGCAGAAGAAAATACACTTATAAGTGAGCCCATGCAGTTCAAATCCATGTTGTTCAAGGGTTAACTGTATTCGCTATCCATGTGGCTAAAGTTCATTCATTTTTAGTGCTGTATGATATAGTATTTACATTGCTACACCATATGTACTATAGTCAAATAAAAGTTTATTTTTTTCTCATGTTGCTAGATATTCTATTTCCTTTTTTAAAAATTATACACAGTAGTACAATGGACATTGTACATGTCTCTAATAAACATTATACAATAATTTCTGGGATATATCTGGAAGTAAAATTGTGAGATTAGAATATATCTTTGTTCAAATTCATGAGATGACTGCAACTTACTGACAAAATGGTTTTGTTCTAGTTAAAACACTCCCACCAGCAAAATGTAAGAGTTCCATAAAGCTTTTTCTATTTGTATTTGTCTTTTTTCACTAAAAGTTTTTTTTTGTTGTTGTTGTTTTCACAGTGGTTCTGTGCAGGTCTATACAATAGATAACAGCACTGGAGCCATGCTGCTATCTCATAAATTAGAGCTAACAGCAAAACAGTATCCTGGTGAGTCTTTTTCTTTTTCTTTTTCTTTTTCTTTTTTTTTTTTTTTTTAACATTTTTCATTTACTGGTAATGCTAGGTATAGCAGATGCTGATTTTAAATTAAACAATGCATGTCATGCTGTAGGTCAAATATTGGGGTTCTGGGTCTGAAACAGGCTCAAGTCTGGAAATTGAGGGGCTGTGATTCTCTGATTTAATAATTAAAATTAGTCTTCTGTCCATGAGACCTAGAAGTTTTCTGCCTGTATAAATTAAGTAGGAATGCAGTAGGCTTCTTACCATTTCACTTCCAGGAACACCGTGATTAATTAGCCAATGCCAGAGCTCTACACGAGTCAGACTATTCTGATTGCTACTTTGCCTCTGCTGTCGATTATGGTAGCTACACCTACCTTGCCTTTGATGATTGAATGCCATCACTTGGCCCTACTGCCTCTGGATCCAATTATTCCCATTGTATTTAAATTTTGTAGTTGAGTGACTGAGGTTCCCACTGTTAGATCTGACATACGGAGAAGAGTAATTACAGTGTTCTTCAAAGATGTAGGTGCTGCCCTCCCAAATCTGTTTTGCAAGGCACTGGTCAAGGATATATCTTCTAGACCCTCCCAGCTGAGATGAGTAGGTCTAAAGTGACTAATCCATTCCACCATCCCAATCTCCCTAAGCCTTTGGAGCCCTTCTTCTACATTAAACCCAGGGAGATCAGGCATTTCCAGCTCACTCACAGTGGGCCATCTTTTAACCCATATTTCAGCTAATGGAGTGAATAAACTATTGGAACCTTTTTTAACTTGCCACCTGCAACATTAAATGCAGAGTCCCTACTTAGTGGGCTTAACTCAATAAATTCAGTCTGAGCCAACTCTTTGTTCCTTCCATCATTATCCCACACCCTTAATATCCATTCCCATGCCTGTTCTCCAGATTTCTGTTTATATAAATTGGAAAACTCAACCAGTTTCCATAGCATAACTCCTGATGGGTCATACTCTCAACCTCACCTCTACAGGCCCACCAGGACTTTAGTTATAGGTCTAGAAACAAACAGAGGTGTTGGGGGTGACCCCTGAGGAGAATCAGCATTCTGTTGCCTGGAAAGTGCCTCAAGGGAGGCCATCGCTGTTGCCTCAGGCAGCACAGGGTTTATCTCCTCAGACAAAGGTGAAAGGACTGATGGCAGCATGGGTCCCGGAAGGGATGTTGCCACTAGTGGGGATGGGGAAGCTGTTTCTTATGGCAAAAAAGGTTCACCACAGTTTACAAACTCAGTGATGAATCCAGCTTCATCAGGGTCTTCCAACACATCCCCATTCCAAGTTGCAGGGTCTCATTCTTTTCCAGTTGATGTCCTCACTTTAACAGTAGATACCTGTTGAGGCTGTGCATGCACCTTTCATTGCAGGTCAGCCACTCATATGATAAGGATTTGTCTCTATTTTTCCACAATTTCAGCTCTTTTTCTATAGGAGATAAGACTTTCACTCAGGACAATCTTAGCAGATCTGAGGCTCAGTATCTACTTCTGGGAGATAGAGTCCCTGAGTTCATCATTTTCTTTATCACTTTGTTCACTGAACTTAAGAGCAACCAACCAGCTTCATTATGTTCTTAGGTTCTCCACTTATGGTCAAAGGTGTTATGTATAGAGTCATTAAACTCCTTGCCTTCAACAAGCAACAAGTCAGGAGTGTCAGATGCATCTATTTTGCATAAGTCTCTAAACAGTTCATGCCAAGGACTATCAGTGTTCCCTGTACTATTAGAAATAAAGTCCTTAACATTTTGGGGTCTAATCATATAAAGCAGCCAACTCCAGAAACCCCAAAACCAATGAAAGAACTCCATCCTTAATATTCTGTTCCTCTAGAACAACTCCTGGTACCAAAATCTGTATTAGTAAGAGTTCTCTAGAGGGACAGAACTAATAGAATACATACATATAAATTAAAAAGAGGAGTTTAATAGTATTAACTCACACAATCACAAGGTCCAATAATAGCCCCTCTGCAGGCTGAGGAGCAAGGAAAGCCAGTCTGAGTTCCAACACTGAAGAACTTGGAGTTTGATGTTCAACGGCAGGAAGCACCTAGCACTGGAGAAATATGTAGGGTGGGGGGCTAGGCCAGTCTCTGTTTTTACATTTTTCTGCTTATCTTCTAGCTGCACTGGCAGCTGATTAGATTGTGCCCACCCAGATTAAGGGTGGTTCTGCCTTTCCCAGCCCACTGACTGAAATGTTAATCTCCTTTGGCAACACCCTCACAGACACAGCCAGGATCAATGCTTTGTATCCTTCAATCCAATCAAGTTGACACTCAGTATTAACTATCACAATTAAGATACTTATTTATGTTGACTTAGTGTTACCCATACTTACAACAATATTTTTGCCTATCATATCTTTTACCAACTCATACCTCTTCTTGAGACAATTTTCTGCCTGAAAAACCTCCCATACATCCTTTGGAATTTCTTTTAATGAAGTTTTTTGAAGGTAAACTCTATTTTGGGGGAGTCTGAAATGTACTTATTTTGCCCTCGTGATTTAATTATAGTGTAACTTGGTAGGCTGTTTTGGATTGGCAGTTCTTTTCTTTTTATGTATTGAAGAATTCACTCCAGTGTCGTTGAATTTTCATTGCAGCTATTGGGAGATCAAGTTGTCTTCTCTTTTCCAGAGATTAGTCTTTATAGCTACCTTTCAAATTTTGTTTTCGTTTTTGGCATTCTGCAGTTTCACTGTGTTGTGGAAGGTGAAGAATTTTGTTTGTTTTTCAAATCCTGCTTGAGACTCAGGCTTGCTGGTTGAAGATTCATGTCTTTGAACTATTTCTGGAAAATTTTCTCAACCAGTCTTTCTAAATACTGCCTCTACCCTAATCTATTTATCTGGAACTCTGATACATTTTACTTTTTTCCGTATTTCTTAACCTGACTTTAAAATTTTTTTAATTTTATTTCTCTAGACTGCATTCTAGAATTTTTTTTCTCCATCTGGGTTTGCTAATTCTGTCCAGTTATGTCTAATATGTTGTTTGATCTGTCCAAGTTTTTAATTTCAGGTATTGTATGTTTTATTATTTAAAGTCTTATTTAGCTCTTTTTCCGATCTGTATGCATCCTGCTCCTTGTCGGTTTTCTCTTTTATTTCGTTGACTATAAAAAGCATAGTTATTTTATGTTCTATGTTTGTTAATCCCAAAATCTGAAGCCGTTCTGAGACTGTTTCTGCCTTGTCTTGATTCTTTGGGTTTTTGCTCATTTGTTTATGTATTTTAGGATTTTTGACTGAGAGCCAATTATTTTCTTTGAAGCATATTTTTTGTGTAGTGCTTGAAGAACTGAATTACATTTGAGTTTTTCCAGAGAGGATTCGTCTTTGCTTTGACTGGTCACTTGGGAGCACTACATCAATCTGGAACCCATTGCTTTGTATTCTCTATGATTTCTTTGAACCTCATTAAATTGCACAAAATTACAAATCACAGAGAGCGTTTGTGGCTTTAGATGATCAAACGAACATTATTTTCCATTCAGTTCCACTGATGAAACATGGAAATGTTCCTTGCTAATTTTTTCCTTCTGCATGGCAGAGTTTTTTTTTTTTCTCATTCATCATGGATATAGTCCATTGTAGTCCCAGGTTTATATGAGTATCTTTTGTTAGATTACCTGCCTTGGCCAAACTCTGAGTTTCATCTCCTGTTCCTAACATGAGTCATCAGAGGGAGAAGTCAAGGTCTCCAGGATTTGACAGAAAAATTCAGGGAGCAAGCACTTTGTCTCAGTATTTTTGGTTGTTTTGAGGATTTAAGTATTCTATTCAACATCTTAGTTTTTTCAGTGTGGAAGTCATTGAGGGTATCAATTGCTGTGCTTCCAGAAATAGAAATTTGCTCCTTAAGTTTTTTTTTAATCATTCTTACTATGTAGCCTTTTTAAAGGCCAGCTTTTTTTTTTTTTTTTTTTCCCTAAGGACAGTTTTTACTGTAAACCTTATTCCTGTTTTACAGAAACTGATTTATACAAAGCCAAGGATGCTTAAGATTACACATTTATAAGTTATTCAAGCCAACAGTGGCTAGAAACAGCTTTCACTTCTTAAAAATCACCTGTGCACTGAGTTTGTTCTGCTTAGATCAGGACAAAACTAATGGCCTTGCTAATTTTAAGTAGTCCTAAATAAGCAGGATTTATTTCATTTTTTGAAGCAGTCATGCCTTTCTGCTCCTTTAGATTTGAAAATATCAACTGTAAAAAAAAAAACAAAACTATTTTTGAATTTCTGAAGCAACTATTTATTTTTAACTCTTCTTACTATTTCCTAACAGACATTTGGAACAAAACAGGAGCTGTTAAATTGATGAGGTGGTCTCCTGACAGTAGTGTTGTAATAGTTACCTGGGAATATGGAGGCCTTTCTTTATGGAGTGTGTTTGGAGCACAGCTGATTTGTACACTTGGAGGAGATTTTGCGTAAGTCAAAAAATGCAATTTTTAGATAAAATAACTCCATTATTTTTCACAGTGCATGCATACCAAAACCTTGTGTCAAAACTTCCATTTTGCCTCAGTTCTTTAAACAGTAAAGTTCGTAATCTATTCAGAATATATTCATTCTCTGAACATTCATTTTTTGAAAAACATGCATCTCATTCCATAAAAATGTATTTATTGAATCCCTGTTGCATATATAACAGCATGTCAGACACAAAGCAGAATCAGACATGGTTCTGCTTTTAGGTAGTTTATAATTTAATGAGGGTGGTAAGACATGTACATAAATAGTAGAAAGTTACGTTCTCTCACTGGGTTAATGTAGGTTAGCCCAGTGGTTGATAGAAGTAGGTTAGTATCTCTTCCCACTTCGTATACTACCCTGAACTTCAGTCCTGATTAAATGAGCACACCTTAAGCTGCATGACTCTGGCAAGAAGTCACTTGGACCTGGGAAAATGTGGGTAAGAGATACATACACCTAGGTGTATTAACCCACAGTGTTGTATTTCATGAATTGTTATGTATTTCTATTTTGAAGGAGCAAAATCATTTTGATTTTTTTAAGAAAACCAACACTAAATTTTATGTGCATTATGTATAATTGGAAGGCTGTATTATAGTTTCTATTCTGTTTCAGTTATAGGTCTGATGGCACCAAAAAGGAGCCCCTTAAGATCAACTCCATGGTAAGTATTTTCTATAAAAAATTGGCATCGTATAAAAAAAACTTGGATTTTTTTCTTCCCTGTTTTTACTCATGTTTATTAATTTATTTCTTGAGACAGGGTCTTGCTCTGTCACCCAGACTGGAGAGCAGTGGCAGATCAAAGCTCACTGCAGCCTCTATCCCCCAGGCTCACTAGCGATCCTACTGCCTCAACCTCCCAAGTAGCTGAGACTATAGGCATGCCACTACCAACACCCAGCTATTTATTTTTAGTAAAGACAGGGTATTGCCCTGTTGCCCAGGCTGGCCGTTTTTTCACTCATGTTGATCTGATGAAATCACAAAACTGTTTTAGTCTCAGTGGCCTCCTCCTCAATAGTTCTTGCTTGATGAAAGTCGTCCCTTTTTTTGATTGGAAGGCTGCCTTGTTTTCAGTATTTGCGTTTTGTTTAGATATATCCACCGAACGCCTATCATCTTATAATGATAATGACTGTTCAGATGAGGCCTTTTTTGTATGTGTCTTCTCATGGCCTGCTTGCTTTTAACATGAGGTGAAATGATCGTTGGGCATTTTTCCTGGAGGATATGTTGTGCATTACTTGAGTGCACATATATATACATACATACACACACATTTTTCCTGGAGGATTTGTTGTGCATTACTTGAGCGGGTGCGCGTGTGCGTGTGCACACGCACGCGCGCGCGCACACACACACACACACACACTTTGTTAGTTGCAGTATAGCACAGTGCCTCGGGCATATTTTTTAAAACTCCCATAGATGTATGTCAAGAGAATTATAGTCACTGTTGTAAACAATACAGGTTGAATATCCCTTAACCAAAATGCTTGGAACCAGATTTTGGAACTTTTTGGATTTTGGAATATTTGTATATACATTCTTGAGGATGAGACTCAAGTCTAAACACAAAATTCACTTACGTTTTATATGTGTCCTACACACTTAGACTGAGATAATGTATTTTTAATAATTTTGTGCATAAAAAATTTTAACTGCATCTCATCACATGAAGTCAGGTGTGGAATTTTTTACTGTGGTGTCATATCAGCCCTCAAAAAGTTTCAGCAATTGGGGCATTTCAGATTTTTGGATTTAGGGAGGCTCAACCTGCATTTTTGTATACCTATTTTCAAGAGTTTCTCTAGAAAACGAAGAGATATAACCCCTGTCTTTACATAACAACTTTTTCTTGCTTATAGCCCCTCTGCTTACCATCCTTTTTAAATTAGTGACAGTGAGACTTCTCACTTCCCTTCTTTCTTGCTCCACAGAGGAAGACGTTTTTCTAATCTTGGATTTCTTGTAGAATTAAAGCTACCATGGTTGCCTAATAGTGGTTTCCAACCTTCCACCACCAAGGACCTCTTTTGATGTCTTTTCCCACATCCATAATTTAAGTTTTCAGCCATACATTTCTGTAAATGCCAATCAGTGCTTCTGAATGGCATGAAACAGCCAGTGTTTTCCATTTCACTAAGTTGATACTTCAACCACAAGCTAAGAATCTCAGCATTTTAGTTAAAACTTGTACGCCTTTATCATAGGAAAACATGAAAGTCCTATTAAACTTTTGAAATTTTGCAACAATTCATGAGGTACCCCTTTTGCCCCTTTACTGTTTTCTTGGTTTGAAGATTGAGAATCACTAATCTTTAAAAATACTATCATGGAATCTAATTACAGAATATTAAAACTGAGTGGCCCTGGAGGAATTTATTTGAACCTCCTCATTTTACAGAGGAAGAAACATACCCTGGCTTGGCCAATGTAATACAATAAAAAGCTAAGCTATAATGAAAACTCTAGTCTCATAGCTTCCTATCCAATGTTCTTTGCTCCATACAAAACTGCATGTTGTATGGGCCTCTTTGCCAGGCCTCTGCTAGGTAACCTGGAGTGTCTTCTATAAGGAATTTCTTTGTATTTGAGAGGCAGCTAAATTAAAAGTAATGGAGAAGTTACAGAGCATAGTAGGTAATTGTAGGATTGAGATCCTAAAATTGGCATTAAGAATGGTAGGTAATGTTTTCGCTTTTGTAGATAGACAGCAGTAATGGTGGTTTCTTCTGGAGTTAGTTAAGAGGTATTTGAAGGTGTGATTCTTGTCTGTGTTATCACAGTTTCTCCAACCTGCATTAATAGTGCTGTCATTGGCTCTTTCAGAATTTGGATAATTGAAACTAGGAAGGGCTACAAAAGCCATTTATTACTCTGACTTTTTTTCTTCCTCTTCTTCTCTCTAAGAGCTGGGGTGCAGAAGGCTATCACCTGTGGGTAATCAGTGGATTTGGCTCTCAAAACACTGAAATTGAGTCTGACCTCAGGAGTGTAGTAAAACAGCCCAGCATCCTGTTATTTCAGTTTATTAAGAGTGTACTCACCGTAAACCCTTGTATGGTAAGTATATTTAAAGCTCTGATTTTTTAGTGTTAATTTTATGTTAGAATTTTAGACCCTTCTTTATGACATCTTCATGGTATATACTCCTAAAATTGGCATATTATCTTCTTTTCTGTAATTCTTGTGTTTTTACTTTATATTAAATTTATACCAAAATTTTATTTCTCAATGAGTTGTGTTTCTTTGGTTTTTATTTTTTTAATAGGGTCATAAGCAATTTGACGGAAAGCAATGTTTATATATTTGAATAATTTGAATAATCTAGTTTTTATCTGAATAGCATTTTCCAAAGCATGTTCCTCCAGGCACTACTTAGGAGAGATATTAGCAGCAGTTCCATGGGATTTTTTTTTCCCCATTTATTTATTTTATTGCATTTTAGGTTTTGGGGTACACGTGAAGAACATGCAAAATTGTTGCATAGGTACACACGTGGCAGTGTGATTTGCTGAGTTTCTCCCCATCACCTACATCTGGCATTTCTCCCCTTGCTATCTCTCCCCAGCTCCCCACCCCCCACCGTCCCTCCCCTATTTCCCCCCAACTGACCCCAGTGTGTAGTGCTCCCCTCCCTGTGTCCATGTGTTCTCATTGTTCAACACCCGCCTATGAGTGAGAACATGCGGTGTTTGATCTTCTGCTCTTCTGTCAGTTTGCTGAGAATGATGGTTTCCAGGTTCATCCATGTCCCTACCAAGGACATGAACTCATCATTTTTTACGCCTGCATAGTATTCCATGCTGTGTATATGTCACATTTTCTTTGTCCAGGCTATCATCGATGGGCATTTGGGTTGGTTCCAAGTTTTTGATATTGGAAACAGTGCTTCAGTGAACATTCGTGTGCATGTGTCTTTATAATAGAATGATTTATAATCCTTTGGATATATACCCAGTAATGGGATTGCTGGGTCAAATGGAATTTCTATTTCTAGATCCATGAAGAATCACCACACTATCTTCCACAATGGTTGAACTAATTTACACTCCCACCAACAGTGCAAAAGTGTTCCTATTTCTCCACATCCTCTCCAGCATCTGTTGTCTCCAGATTTTTTAATGATCGCCATTCTAACTGGCGTGAGATGGTATCTCAATGTTGTTTTGATTTGCATTTCTCTGATGACCAGTGATGATGAGCATTTTTTCATATGTTTGTTGGCCTCATGTATGTCTTCTTTTGTAAAGTGTCTGTTCATATCCTTTGCCCACTTTTGAATGGGCTTGTTAGTTTTTTTCTTGTAAATCTGCTTTAGTTCTTTGTAAATTCTGGATATCAGCCCTTTGTCAGATGCGTAAACTGCAAAAATTTTTTCCCATTCTGTTGGTTGCTGATTCACTCTAATGACTGTTTCTTTTGCTGTACAGAAGCTGTGGGGTTTGATTAGGTCCCATTTGTCTATTCTGGCTTTTGTTGTCAATACTTTTGGTGTTTTGGTCATGAAGTCCTTGCCTACACCTATGTCCTGAATGGTTTTGCCTAGATTTTCTTCTAGGGTTTTTATGGTGTTAGATCTTATGTTTTAAGTCTTTAATCCATCTGGAGTTAATTTCAGTGTAAGGTGTCAGGAAGGGGTCCAGTTTCTGCTTTCTGCACATGGCTAGCCAGCTTTCCCAACACCATTTATTGAACAGGGAATCCTTTCCCCATTGCTTGTTTTTGTCAGGTTTGTCAAAGATCAGATGGTTGTAGATATGTTGTGTTGCCTCCGAGACCTCTGTTCTGTTCCATTGGTCTATATCTCTGTTTTGGTATCAGTACCATGCTGTTTTGATTACTGTAGACTTGTAGTATAGTTTGAAGTCCGGTAGTGTCATGCCTCCCACTTTGTTCTTTTTGCTTAGAATTGACTTGGCTATGCGGGCTCTCTTTTGGTTCCATATGAAGTTTAAGGTGGTTTTTTCCAGTTCTGCGAAGAAGGTCATTGGTAGCTTGATGGGGATAGCATTGAATCTGTAAATTACTTTGGGCAGTATGGCCATTTTCACGATATTGATTCTTCCTAACCATGAACATGGAATGTTTCTCCACCTGTTTGTGTCCTCTCTTATTTCGTTGAGCAGTGGCTTGTAGTTCTCATTGAAGAGGGCCTTTACATTCCTTGTTAGTTGTATTCCTAGGTATTTTACTCTCTTTGTGGCAATTGTGAATGGAAGTTTGTTCTTGATTTGGCTCTCTTTAAGTCTGTTATTGGTGTATAGGAATGCATGTGATTTTTGCACATTGATTTTGTATCCTGAGACTTTGCTGAACTTGCTTATCAGTTTCAGGAGGTTTGGGGCTGAGACGATGGGGTCTTCTAGATATACAATCATGTTGTCTGCAAATAGAGACAATTTGACTTCCTCCTTTCCTATTTGAATGCTCTTTATTTCTTTTTCTTGCCTGATTGCTCTGGCTAGAACTTCTAATACTATATTGAATAGCAGTGGTGAGAGAGGGCATCCTTGTCTGTGCCACATTTCAAGGGGAATGCTTCCAGTTTTTGCCCATTCAGTATGATATTGGCTGTTGGTTTGTCATAAATAGCTTTTATTATTTTGAGATATGTTCCATCAATACCTAGCTTATTGGGGGTTTTTAGCATAAAGGGCTGTTGAATTTTGTCAAGGCCTTCTCTGCATCAATTGAGATAATCATGTGGTTTTTGTCTTTGGTTCTGTTTATGTGGTGAATTACGTTTATAGACTTGCGTATGTTGAACCAGCCCTGCATCCGTGGGATGAAGCCTACTTGATCATGGTGGATAAGCTTTTTGATGTGCTGTTGCAATCGGCTTGTCAGTATTTTATTGAAGATTTTTGCATCTATGTTCATCATGGATATTGGCCTGTAGTTTTCTTTTCTTGTTGCGTCTCTGCCGGGTTTTGGAATCAGGATGATGTTGGTCTCATAAAATGATTTGGGAAGAATTCCCTCTTTTTGTATTGTTTGGAATAGTTTCAGAAGGAGTGGTACCAGCTCCTCTTTGTATGTCTGGTAGAATTCGGCTGTGAACCCATCTCGACCTGGACTTTTTTTGGGTGGTAAGCTCTTAATTGCTGCCTCAACTTCAGACCTTGTTATGGGTCTGTTGAGGGTTTCAGCTTCTTCCTGGTTTAGGCTTGGGAGGAGGCAAGTGTCCAGGAATTTATCCATTTCTTCCAGGTTTATTAGTTTATGTGCATAGAGTTGTTTGTAATAATCTCTGATGATGGTTTGAATTTCTGTGGAATCTGTGGTGATATCACCTTTATTGTTTTTTATGGCATCAATTTGGTTTTTCTCCTTTTCTTTTTTATTAATCTGGCTAGTGGTCTGTCTATTTTGTTGATCTTTTCAAAAAACCAGCTCCTGGATTTATTGATTTTTTGAAGGGTTTTTTGTGTCTCTATCTCCTTCAGTTCTGCTCTGATCTTAGCTGTTTCTTGTCTTCTGCTAGACTTTGAGGTTTTTTGATCTTGCTCGTCTAGCTCTTTCAGTTTTGACGATAGGGTGTCAATTTTTGATCTCTCCTTGCTTCTCATGTGGGCACTTATTGCTATATATTTTCCTCTAGAGACTGCTTTAAATGTGTCCCAGAGATTCTGGTATGTTGTGTCTTCATTCTCGTTGGTTTCGAAGAACATCTTTATTTCTGTCTTCATTTCATTGTTTATCCAGTCAACATTCAAGAGCAAGTTGTTCAGTTTCCATGAAGCTGTGCGGTTCTGGGTTAGTTTTTGAATTCTGAGTTCTAACTTGATTGCACTGTGGTCTGAGAGACTGTTTGTTACAATTTCCGTTCTTTTGCATTTGCTGAGGAGTGATTTACTCCCAATTATGTGGTCAATTTTAGAATAGGTGTGATGTGGTGCTGAGAAGAGTGTATATTCTGTGGATTTTTAAAATTTTTTAAATTTTTGTTTCCATTTAAGTGTGAAATAAAGGTAAAACAAAATTATAGAAATTTCTTTATTTTAGGGCTCAGAGTCTTAAAATATGCTTATGTGCATCGTGAAAATCCAGGAGGTAGCATATAAAAAACAATGTTCCCCATGCTTATTTAACTGAATTTTTAAGAAACAGCTTGAAGAAAATGTGTCTGAGGACTTGCTTTTAGAAACACTGCCCCAAATTATAAACTTATATTTCTATCTGAAATAATGTATACCAGTATTACTATATATTGCTAATATACAGTAATAGTATATGTAACATGTTAGAAATGTATAACCTACTATCAATGGCTTTTTAATGGAAATTTGGTACAACAAATTTCTAATTGAAATTTACAACAAATCAAGAAGGAAAGTGAAAATAGCCTGAATCTCAAATCTGTTATTCCACTTGAAGATTAAGGATCCCCAGAAAAGAAGAAAGTATTTCTCCTCCCCTTCCCCATCGCAAATAATAATTTAAAAGCACCCTGAGTTTTATGTCAAGCCAGCATTTGGACTAAAATGGTGAGGTGGGTAGGATGCTGCTTTGTCTGATTTGAATAGTTAATAAGTCTCCTTACCTTTGAGAACACTGGCTTTCTAGTTGAAAACTCATGGTCACTAATAGCACTATTCTTTCTAATTATAATAGTGCATGAGATTATTGTATAGTCTTTGTCCTCTGTGAAGAAAATCAACATTGAGATATATATACATTTCCTATAATAAAGCTAAATCAATGTGTTACTTACTTTCTCCTACATATGTTGAGTTGTTTTTATTTGCTTTTCTTCTTTACCCATTTTGTTCCCCTTTCACTCATTTAGAGTAACCAAGAGCAGGTATTGCTTCAGGGTGAGGATCGCTTGTACTTGAACTGTGGAGAGGCTTCACAAACCCAGAATCCCAGGAGTTCTTCAACACACTCTGAGCGTAAGCCCAGTCGAGAAAAGAGCCCATTTTCAGATGGAGGTTTAGAGTCTCAGGGATTAAGCACTTTACTTGGACATCGGCATTGGCATGTTGTACAGGTAAATCTTTAATTAGTGATGACTAGAGACTTATTCTTTGATAGGATATCACCTGGATCAGATTATTAAATGTTTCATCTGTTAACTTCAGGCAACTGAGAATCCTTTTAACCATTTTGTCATGTCCTTCTTGTGCTTTTCTGCATTCTTGTCCTCTTGTTTTCTCCTTCTTTTCCTTCCACTTGGTGTAGAGTGTATCGCCCACCTGCTTCAGGTGCATTAATAATGTCAAGAACTAGAAGTTTATGTTTTACCTTCTCATTGAGAACTACTTATTTTACTTTCATCTTCTTTTTTGTATAAATCTAGCTCTACGGATTTGCACAGGCAAAACAAAGTGTAATAATTTCATGGAAAGTGACAACATCAACTAGAACTCTGTACAGCTGACCTTACAGTCCTAATGGGGCCACGTTGAGGTTAATCATGTGACTTTGGACCCAAATTGCAGACTTGTGATCAGTAGAGAGCTTTATTGTTAATAATTTTATTAGCTGATCTTACTCTAAATTATTTATTCATTCTGATATCTCTTTTAAATTAGCAGTGTCTTACAGTAATTCTGATAAACTGACATTAAATGTTAAACATGGAAATTAGTTCTGAATTTCGATACCAAGTAAAATTAATTTGGGGAAACCAGTAAGTTGAAGTTTCTTAAAAGAATCTTACATACTTAATTTCAATGTTCTGAGTGTTTTCTTTCCCCTTTTGATAGAAAAATATTTTAGATACTTAAATATCTATTTAGATACTTAAATGTCTAAAATATTTAGGTATTTAAATAAGCCCAGTCTTATTTCTTTTAGTCAGTTTCTATTTCCATAATTCTTCGCCTTACTTTGAGTCTCTATATAGTATACCCTACTACTAGCCTACTTCAGCTCCCATGTTATTTTCAGTTGACTTTGAGTGAAGATACTGAGAGACAAAAAAATGGTCATGTGTAAGGTTGAAAGATTATCTCCTACATTGACATGTGGTATACACTAAAAATGTATTTAACTTACATTAATCAATTCATAGAATCAAACAATGTACATACCATTTTATAATTAGTAACAATTTTTAAATAAAACTGCATTAGCTACTTCCTTGACTAAAATTTTCCACTGCTCCCTTCTCTCCTATAGCCATTTCTCTGCTATTTTCATTTCCCCATACTTTGAACTATTCATTCTACACTGACCTAGCATCAATGCCAGTTCTGCCTAGCCAGGTCTGTGTTACCAGAGAGCCAAGTAGAGCAGAGGATCAAAGAAGGTAGGTCTGGAACTAAAAAATCGATCAGGCAATAACAAAAATTGAATTTCCTTCCAGCTCAAAACCTTAGTGATTCTGTGATTCTTCAGCATCTATGAAGTATCCCATATAAGAGAAGCATTTTAACACTGATTTTAGGACTTTGGGTACCAGCAAGATTCCTCTGTCATTCTGTTCTTTAGATAGCTAGAGATAATTAGATGAACTTGTAAAACTAGGGTTTACTGAGTTTATCAGTTTCCTTAAAAATAACATAAATAATGCCACATTAATTGTTTTGTACTTCTGAAACAATTATAATGGACTCAGAATTTTTCAAGCTGGAAGGACCTTAGAAGATCATAAAGTCCAACTGGATTTGAGACATGAGGAAACTGAAGATCAAGGAAGTTATGTGACTTGTCCAGTTCACCCAGCAAAGTAGTGGCATACTTATCTTTATGATTCTACATTAAAGTAACAATCTAATGTATTTTAAAACCTAGGTACTGAGTATTAAATCATATAATACACTACTGATCTTGAGCTAAAACTTAGAATTTGCCTGTTTGGTAGTTTGTAGTTGGAGTTGCCCTATATTTTTCTGGCACTCCAGCTACATAATTCAGTGCGGTTATGGTGGTGGAGTTTCAGTGGGGCAGTGTACAGTGTCTATATAATGCTAAGGCGTTACCTTCTAGGCTTTTTACCATTTATGATGGCTCCCTGAAGAAACATAGTTGCCTGATTTAATTTACCCCTCAGTATTATCCTTTTTTCTAAGTGACCACATCCTCTGTCAAAATTGATTTGTTTGCATGATTTATTCTTTTTATGCTTCTTGTATAGCTTAGATGAGCTCCAACTAATTCTGCTGCTCTTTCTGTTTCTCATCTAGATTACTAGTTTTTTGTTGTTTGTTTAAACCTGCTACCTTATACTTCTTAACTTCCAGACTGAAAGATTCTATGTTACTTACGTTTTTTCTTGAAGTGAAACAAAACAAATACATGCTTGTCAGAAGTAGGATTGAGAAAAAGCAGTGCTTTTTTAAAAAAATTTTTCTTACCTATAAATTTAAAAAATTTTGAAAACCGTTTGTTGACAGATGGAACACAAACTGTGAAACTTTACAAAACACACACCTTGTAGTTTTAGGCCATGTTCCTTCTAAGACTGCCATTTATTTTAATGCTCAGTATTTTGGGTGATGTAAACATTTGCTTCTGAAAGGTACATACATCTTCGGTGTTCTGGGGATATTGGTTTGATAGTTAACTTGGCTACTTAGAAAGAATAAGCTTCGGCTACTTAGAAAGAATAAGCTTCACAAAATGTGGGAGATAGACACCTACAGGTATCAGGCACTATGTTAGGGATTTCAGCAGAGAGTACTTAAAAGGATATTTCATTGATCACTTATTTGCTGTCAGTATGTATCAGGTGTATTGGGTGTGATATTTGGTACAAACAAATTTGCTAGTAGGATGCCTCCTACAGTCTCAAAAATTATAGATAAAACTAGTCTAGGCAGGAGACAGAGTTTTAGCAGAGTTACTTTAAAATTTAAAAATCATAATAATAAAGGCGGGCAGATTCAGTTTCTTTAAGAGAAACCGAAACATTCTACGATAAGGGTAGAGTTTCTGCACCTTAGCACTCAGTTTTCCAATGATGTGGCATGACTTCAGTGCCCTGAGTGTGCTCTCATGACCTCTTTTTTTTTTTTTTCTCATTAATTAACTGCCTCCTCCTTACTTCTGCCGTTTCCTGTTCTCAGTATTAGAGGTAGAGCTCAGAGTTCAGATGACACATAGATCAACCAAGTTGACCTACTCGAGAAAATACTTATTATCTGTAGACACAAAACTGCATGAAAAAGAAAAAAAAAAACTTCATTTTAAACATAACACCTTAAGTTTTTAAAATAAATCATTTGTGGCACTTCATATTTTTTTAGAGAATAAATTGTTTTCTTTAGATATGATCATTTGGTAAGATTTAACTTTGATTCCCATTATTAGAAACTCTTTGTGTTAGAATCCACTTTTGCAGTAAGATCCCAGCTCCCACATTACCCACCCACACATTTCATGAGTACTCATGAAACACCAAGTTTTGAGGGATGTGAGGATTCCTTTTAGTACCATAGTTGATTGGCACAGTTACACTCAGGTACATCCTCCTCCTGTTAGTGACTGCTGAAAAAAAATTGAAACTGCTTTCAACTTTTATTTCACCACCCAGTCATACCTTAAGTTTACCATTATTCTGAACTAATGTTACTCATCATAGTAACTTTTTAATATTTTTTTTTGAGACACAGTCTTTCTCTGTTGCCGAGGCTGGAGTTCAGTGGTGTGATCTCAGCTCATAGCAACCTCTGTCTCCTGGGTTCAAGTGATTCTCCTGTCTCAGCTTCCCAAGTAACTGGGATTACAGGCACCTGTCACCACCCCCAGCTAATTTTTGTATTTTTAGTGGAGACGGGGTTTTACCATGCTGGCAGGCTGGTCTCGAACTCCTGACCTCAGGTCTCCCAAAGTGCTGGGATTACAGGTGTGAACTACCCCGCCCAGCCCATAGTGAATTTTATTAATTTATTAAGCTGTTGATTTAGTTGAATTTTAAGTTGACTTAGCAAGTCAACTTAAAGAATAAGTAGTAAGTAAAGCACTTGATAATAAGTGAAGTATAACAAATAGTTTTATCAATAAATTTTATCAGGGTTAATACAGATGTTTAGAGCTTATTACTTTTACTTAATTTTTGTTCTGTCTTCACATTATGCAAACAATCTTACTGGGTTTGATTGCAGTTCACTTGGCTTTTTAATTTGGCATTGATTTTTAAATATGTGACAACTTTTCTTAGAGTAGAATGAAAGTAAATTTGAAGAAATCAAAGCTTTTCTTATTCCAGGAACAGAAGGCTCTTTTTTTGTTTGGTTCTGTTATTTCTCAGCCCACTCCAACATGTGCTCATGAAAATTAATCAGTAAGCTATAGAGATCAGTCTCATTAAAGCTAGAATTTACTTAATCTACATTGATATCCTATATCAATTATTTAAATTGAAAGGTGTTGTTAGGGTGATACAAAGACCTCATGTTCAAAGATGTAAGACAGACAACGTGGAAAAATATATTGACCACTTTTCTTGCAGAGAGATTTAATATTGTAACATATTAAAAGTTCTTGTAGATGAGTAAGTAAAATACCCCTGTGGAAAAGTAATACCTTACATGCACTCTTTCATGAATATACATGTTTGTTTAGAGATAGAATAAAAGGTAACAAGTGGTTGTCCCTAAGCAATAGAGAATTTCATTTTGTTCATTTTTATATTATATAATTTTATAAGCATTGGTTTTTTGGGGGGTGGGGGGAAACGGAGTTTCACTCTTGTTGCCCAGGCTGGAGTGTAGTGGTATGATCTTGACTCACTGCAACCTCCGCCTCCTGGGTTCAAGCGTTTCCCCTGTCTCAGCCTCCCAAGTAGCTAGGATTACAGGCATGCGCCATCAGGTCCAGCTAATTTTGTATTTTTAGTAGAGAGGAGGTTTCGCCATGTTGGTCAGGCTGGTCTCAAACTCCTGACCTCAGGTGATCCACCCATCTCTGCCTCCCAAAGTGTTGGGATTACAGACATGAGCCACTGGACTTGGCCTAAGCATAACTTTTTTAATCAAAAATTGTAAAAGTAATGAAATTATTTTCATTAAAAAATCAGAACTTTTTTTGAGGCTGTAATCGGTTGTTTTGGAATGGTTCATATCCGGAAACCCAAACTGTTGATCTGCGCAATTCATAGCTGCCCTCATGGGTGCCTTCTCTGAAAATCTCATCAGTCTGTATTTATGGAGTTCAATATTTAAAACAAACAGAAACATCATAAGGGGTGAGGGGTGGGGAAAGGAAAGCCTGGTAACTAGAAACATGAAATAACAGACATGAAATGTGAAACATTGATTCGTATACAATTGGTAAATTCCAAGTGTTCTGCTACTAATATTAACTAGGGGAGGCACCTTAAACATTGTTCACTAAAGTAAGATGAATCTTATATTGTGATAACTTAATGCTTTAAGTTTAAATACATTTCATAAGTTTTACCAAACTGATATATTATTTTCTGTAGATTTCCAGCACCTATCTAGAGAGCAATTGGCCTATACGGGTGAGTTGTTATTTTGTTGGTGTTAACTTTTATTGGCTAGGATTTGCTGCAAGAGGCATTCTGGGAAGAGCCCTTCAGTGGGTGTATTGAGAAGAATAAAACACTTGATCTATTGTACACTGCTAGTGTATTAACATCTGTAATTTTTTCAGATGTAACTGTGAATATTTGGACATTAAAGTATTTAATTAGCAAACATTTATTAATAGTCTATTTGCCTGACACAATACTAAGCTCTTTATGCCTAATTAAGTGTATAGGTTTGCAAGGAAAATTTCTTTTTTTTTTTTTTTTTTTTTTTAACAGTTTTCAGCTATTGATAAGCTTGGACAGAATATTGCTGTGGTTGGCAAGTTTGGTTTTGCACATTACTCTTTACTCACCAAAAAATGGAAACTTTTTGGAAACATTACCCAGGTTAGTCTTTTCAAGATTAAAAAGCTATTTCTCAAAGTATAAGAGAACTACTACAATATTAAATAACTATCAAGTTTATAGCTAAGTAATTTTCGTTACTTATTAAAAAATAAGAAAAATCAAATAATAAAAAGTGATACTGAATAATGTCCAAGAGTTGATTCTGATAAAGTACTTGACATTTGGTAAAGGATCTTGTGTCAAAATTGTTGGTTTATTTTTAATTCCTGTTAAGATCAGTAACTATAATTCTTTAGCCTGAGGATTTATTCTTACATTCTGGCTTGAGTTTTTCAAATGTGATCAGAATAAATTTCCACAGAATTTGAGCTCATTCCTTTCTTGTTCTATGTGTGATATGTGTGTGTGTGTGTGTGTGTGTGTGTGTGTGTGTGTGTGTGTGTGTACACATATATGCGTGCAGTTGGAAGAGGAGGAAATCAATACTTACTAGGTACCTATTGTGTTTTAGGCATTTTATGGCACTTTCATATATGTTATCTCACCCATCTGCATAGCACCCAATGAAGGCATTACTGTTACTCATCTTTCAGTTAACACACACACACACACACACACACACACACACACACACACAAACTAGGATTAGTTAGTCATCTTATAAATGATTAAGCCAGTATTTACACCAAGCCCTATTGGATGTGGGAATGATGATGCTATATAGTACCCAGTTATTTTTAATGGTATATTTGCCTCCTTAAAGAAATACTTATTTTTGAAAATAGTATATGGATCATTATTAGTAAAGGCGCTAGAGTAATCATGGGAGAGAGGGAGAATAGAGCAGAAATAATTTGAGCTTTGGCTGGGTGTGGTGGCTCACGCCTGTAATCCCAACCCTTTGGGAGGCCAAGGTGGGCAGATCACTTGAGGCTGGGAGTCCAAGACCAGCCTGGCCAACATGGTGAAACCCTGTCGCTACAAAATACACAAAAATTAGCTAGGTGTGTTGGTGCATGCTTGTAATCCCAGCGACTTGGGAAGCAGCTGAGACATGAGAATCGCTTAAACCCAGGAGGTGGAGGTTACAGGTAGCTGCAATCGCACCACTGCACTCCAGCATGGGTAACACAGTGAGACTATCTCAAAAAATAATAGTAATTTGAGCTCTGTCTGGATAAGAATTTTTATAAATTTATTACTTTGTTAGAATTTCTGGTAGCATAAGGTGACTTTTTTTTGAATTTTATTTTAAGGAGCAAAATATGATTGTGACAGGTGGCTTAGCCTGGTGGAATGATTTTATGGTCCTTGCATGTTATAACATAAATGACCATCAAGAAGAGGTAAGTTTTTTCTCTCAGAAATAACAGAATTTTGTATTTTAAAGCTATTAAGCATGATTTAATTTTATATAGAAAATAGTCTGTTGAAAACGGAACAAAACATTTTTTAATCAAGAATGTAGCTTCTAAATTAGCTAGTGGGATTTTCTTTTCAGGTTATTACTGTAAAATTTTTTTAAATGACAATTGAGACTTCTAAGATAACCTCTTGTAAGGATTTTAGCTGTCAGACATTCTCTATGGCATTTGAAAATAAAGAGTTAAAAGCAAAAAATTTCATGATACAAGAACAGCTATCCTTAGAGATAGATTTATTTAGTTACTGATTTACAGTAACGCCTCCCTAACTATAGGGGATACATTCAAAGACCAGCAGTGGATGCCTGAAACTGTTAATGGTACTGTGAACCCTATATAGCACTATCATTTTTCCTATACATACATACCTATGATAAAGTTTAATTTGTAAAATATTAATAATTCATAAAATAAAACAGTTATGACAGTGTATTGTAATAAAAGCCATATGAATGTGGTCTCTAAGAATATCTTAGTATACCATACTCACCTATTTTCAGACCATGTTGGACCGCAGATAACTGAAACTGTGGAGAACAAAGCCATGGATAAGGGAAACTACTGTATCTGTTTTTTTGTTTGCTTTAAGAAACTGCTGGTTTCAGTATGTTAGGTCTAAATACACAGGTCTAGGCCAGGTGTGGTGGGTGGTTCACGCCTGTAATCCAAACAGTTTGGGAGGCTGAGGCGAGTGGATCATCTGAGGTCAGGAGTTCGAGACCAGCCTGGCCAACATGGTGAAACCCCATCTCTACTAAAAAAGCAAAAATTAGCCTGGTATGGTGGCATGCCCCTGCAATCGCAGCTACTTGGGATTTTCCAGCTGAGGTGGGAGAATTGCTTGAACCCAGGAGGCAGAGGCTGCAGTGAGCCAAGATCACACCATTGCACTGCAGCCTGGGCAACAGAGTGAGAGCCCGTCTCATAAATAAATAAGCAAGCAGTCTAAAAGGAATATTTTATAATACTGCATTCAGTTTTGATTACTTCATTTTTTGCTTATTCGTAGAATGAGCCTAGCCTGGAAAAATATATAAACATAATCCATTTATTTTTAAAGCTTAGGTTTTTTAACTGTTGTTGCTTAAAAAAAAAACGGGGTGAGGGGGCAGAAGTTAAAAAACAGCATGTCTAAAGTATTTAGTTATCCCTAGTAGTTATCTTGTTTTTATAATTTTATTTATTTTTGTTTTCTTTAGCTTAGAGTATACTTGCGAACATCAAATCTGGACAATGCCTTTGCTCATGTCATCAAAGCACAAGCAGAAACATTACTGCTTAGTGTCTTCCAGGACATGGTAATAGTATTTAGAGCAGACTGTTCAATATGCCTTTACAGTATTGAAAGAAAATCTGATGGGTAAGTATCTGGCATAAGAAGTTACTTTTTTCTCCTCTTTATCACGTTTCTCTTTTGTAGTTTTTGTCTTCTCAAAACACTTATTCCACTTTTATGTTTAATCTCCGTTTTGTTAGAAGTAAACAAAAGCAAGGAGTTTAAATCAGTAATACTGATATAGTAGCTAAGAAAAAAGAAATATTCTGCACTAATTTCTTTAGCTTATCTTCCTGGGGTCATTTGAAAAACTAGTTTGGGATGAGGTAAACCCTTAGAAAAACCTAAATTTTTTTCACAACCTTGAAAATAAATGGTTACTGACTCTGCTAGTGTTCCCAATACTTGGTGGGAATTTGAAGAAGTTCCACAGCTTTAAGGCTGTAGGAAGCATGTCCTTAGCAAACTGACATATGTTTTCACTGAGCTAGATGGCTATAGTCTGGGACAGTAAAAATCAGCAGGCTTGTTGCTGCAGCATGTTGCCTTGTATTTGTCTTGGCATCTGGTCTATTTGCAGCATTTTTAGATGACACCTCTTGAGTTATATTTTTGTTCTCAGAGGTTGATTGAAGTATGTATTAAATAGCAGAGTGATTGAGGAGTAATGCAAGATAAAAATTAAGACATCTCACTAGCCTCAGTGATTGAACCTTCATTCTTTCTCAACCAACTAGTTTTTTCCACTTAAATATTTGTATTCTTATAGCTTCTTCCCTAGTTTTCATCTTCCCTCCTATTTCTTACTCCCTTTCTTTCTCTCTCATCCCCATGTATGTTCTCTGGCTCCCCTCAACCTTGCCTACTTGATCGAAGGATATGTAGGGAGAAAATGATAGGTGGAAGACATCTGAGTCTTCCATAAGCATGAAATCTAATACTATTACTAGTGGAAAAGAAAGAAAATCTTATTAGCATTGTTGAGGTATGTGGATATCTTTTGTTTTCACAGTCCAAATACTACTGCTGGTATTCAAGTTCTTCAGGAGGTTTCCATGTCACGCTACATTCCTCACCCTTTCCTGGTAGTATCTGTCACTCTGACATCAGTGAGTACAGAAAATGGAATCACCTTGAAAATGCCACAGCAGGTACCATTCCATTATCAGAGCTCTTTGGAGTTTACATCTCAGTTTTTAGTATTCGAAGTTTATATTAGTAACTGTTTCAGCAAATAAATGCTAAGTGTCTAAAATTTACCTTGTATGAGAATGCTGGATTACAGTGGCAAATTAAAAAAACATGGTTTCTGCTTAGGCATTAAATAAATAATTACATACATAATGAATTCTTCCTGTTATGTGTACCAAAAAGTAATATGCATTACTGTGAGAGCATATTTCCAAAACCTAGTATAGTCTGAATAATCAGAGATTTCTGTGTCATTTAAATCAAAACCTGGAGAATAAGTAGAGATTATCTAAGTTAAGAGGGGATGGATTTTCAGGTGGAAGGAACAGTAGTGCAGAGGCCCATGGACAAGAGAGAACATGACACACTCAGGGAATTGGAAGAATTTTAGAGTGACTGGGACATGGAAGGTGAGAGAGGATATGAGTTTTGTAGATAATATTGATAATTTTAGACTTTGACTTCAAGCCTAAAGTGTCTTAAGTTAGGTGTTATTAGATCTAAGCTTTATAATGTTTGCTTTACAAAACTACTGTAGGGAGAGCAACTGGGAGGCCATTGTAATGATCTGGGTCAGCGGTGTTCGGAGTCTAAACTTGGCCAGTGAAAAAGGAAATGGAAAGAAATAGAATGAGTATAGAATAGCAAGGGCTTCATAATTAGTTACTTATGAGGAAAGAGAAAGTAAAGTATAGTTTCTGGGTAAAGTTAACAGGGTAAGAAGTAGGGCCACCAAGACCCACATTGTATAACTTCCTATTTCAGTGGTTTCTAAACTTGATGTCAACTGGGAACCTGTTGTCAGAGGAAAATTCTGTTTAGATTTATCATCCCTGTCTGCCCAGTCTGTCTTTTACTTCCTGTCGAGGCACTTCCATCAAACCTCAACCCTCCATAAAATAATTAGAAAACAGTACAGTAGACTAACCAGTTACGGGGAATTTAATATTATTTATATGAATCTAAAATTGATTTGTTACAATCTATCCCAATTCTCTATTCTTTGTAACAAGGCGTTATAAAAACTACTCCCTCTTCTACATGATGACCCCCAAAATATTTGCAGACAGTTACCATTCCTTGGCTTCTTCTCTCAAACCTCTCTGTCTTCTTATCTACATGCTAAATACTTCCATATCTCCAACTATTTCGTGTGACATATCTACAGCTGTTTCATGTGATGTTTCTTCTAGACCCCTTAACCATCTTGGTCTCACTTTTTGGTTTTTGAGGGGTTTTTTTCCCTGTTTTTTGAAATGGAGTCTCACTCTATTGCCAGGCTGGAATGCAGTGGCCCGACCTCAGCTCACTGTAACCTCTGCCTCCCAGGTTCAAGTGATTCTCCTGCCTCAGCCTCCCAAGCAGTTAGGACTACAGGCATACACCACCATGCCCAGCTAATTTTTGTATTTTTAGTAGAGACAGGGTTTCATCATGTTGGCCAGGATGGTCTCAATCTCTTGGACCTCATGGTCCACCCACCTTAGCCTCCCAAAGTGCTGGGATTACAGGCGTGAGCCACTGTACCTGGCCTTGGTCTCATTTCTATAGGTAAAATTTGTTTTCTTTTTAAAAATACAGCTCCCATTTTCTCTGCAAACCATATTTAATGGTAACCAGTTAGTCCTAACTGATAAGGGAATGTACTGTTTTGCAGAAGTCTAGATATAAGGTGTGAAAAAAAAGGGACAATTTAAAAATCATTTTGCAGTCCTGAGTGATGCAAAATCAATCAGCAAAATCAATTTTAGTGATGCTAATCAATCTTAGCATCACTAAAAATGGGAAAACCAGATGTGGTATGCTTCTTGAGATGATACAACATGAAGTTCACAAGAATGATTGCCAAAAGCCTTGAACCCGAATCAAATCAAGCGGAGAGTCATCTTCCATTCAAGTCTAATTTACACCACAAGGAAGCAGAAAACGAGACATTCTGTTGGACAGCTACAAGCTACTAACATGGAGGAAAAAGGAGCAAATCTTCTAGATTAACTAGGACTTTGAAGCCGTAACAACCAAATGCAGTGGGTAAAACTCATTTGTGAGGCAAATGTAATAATCATTGCCCTACAGAACCAACTCAGTAAGTTCATCTATATCTTCATTCAACCCAGCTATAAAAAGACACTGTTGAAACAATTAGGGATATTTAAATACTAATGGACAGAGAAACTAGAGAATAATTGTAAATTTTATTGGATGTGATACTAGCATTGTGGCTATGTAAGCAAATGTCCAGATGTTTTAGGAATGCATATGAAACATATAGAAGTAAAATGGGTAGCATATCTTACTTGAAAATACTCAGACAAAACTGAAAAAAAAAAAAAAACAAAAAAACAGGGATGGATGGAGTAAATAGGGTAAATCTTGATAATTGTGCAGCTGAATAATGGCAATGTGAAAGTTCATTATACTGTTCTCCATACTTTTAATTATGTTTAAAGTTTTCATATTTAAAAAAGTACTCTTGTATATCCTAGATAGAATAGGCAGCCAAGTGGCATCAGTAGTACTCTGTACCATGTTTTGAGAGGGACTTTCACAAAGAAGATATTTAACTTGGCTAGAGCAGATTAAGAAGTTAAAATGGACTGATTACTACAGAGAGAAGATAAAGCTAGAGCAAAGTAAGTCTTGATTTAATACTAAAGATTAAAAAAAAAAATAGTAACAGTGAGAACTCTTCAACAGCATGATAGCCTCTCCATGAGAGAGTGAGCTCCTTGTTACTGAAATTCTCATGGAGAATCATCTGCCAGGGATTTTTTTAGGGTAAGAGATGGAGTTTGGGGTTCCGTCAAATTGAGGGTTTTGAGCATACAGGTAGCATAATACCCATTCACTGAAGAAAAGAGAAGCGTGCTTTTTTAATGAAGCAGTATGAAATGTGGTGAAATCTACCATCTTAAAACTTAAGGTAGTCATTATAAACATTAGTCATATTGTAGTAAATTATAGTATATGCCTTTAAGGTCTTTTGAAGTATATGCCAGTCCCCAGTCATGCTGTTTTGCTGCAGGTGTTTGTGTCTTTTTCTTTTTCCTCAGCCGTCTAGCTACATTTTACTGTTACCTTGGTGTCTGACTCCTCTAGTTCCCACACACCTAAATTCCATGTTTGCTTCTCATGCCTCCAAATTATTTTCTGGACAGATACCCAATTTTTTTATTTAGTCATTTCTTTATACACAATCCCCCAGAGCAGTAAGCAAGAGCAGTTTGTATAGCTGAGTATTTTGTAACTAGAATATATAGGGTGGCTGCTGTTTTCTTGATGAACCCTAAGTGATATTGGCAGCTTAAATTCAGCCAGCCAGCATGCAGCAAAGCCTGGCTCACAATCCCACAACTTTTGAATAGTCATTTTTTCCTTCCTGAAACTCTTTCCTTCTGTTTATATAACACTGTGCTTCCCTATTTCTCTTTTGCCTTCAAAAGCTCAGGTGATGGCCCTCTGCTCTTTTCCCCCTGGCTACTGTGCCTGGGAAACTTCTGTCTCAGGAGTTTTATAATGCTGGTACAGTCATCTCTGATTTAGTCATTGCTCACATTTTTACTTGGAAGTCTTTAAGATTTTTTTTTTTTAATTAAAATTAAGAAAAGAAAACGGGAAACTTTTTGATTTTCTCTTCCCTAATTTCTCTTCTTACCTTCTATCAGTGATAACTTCAACTTCTCTAGCACCTCAGCTGACCTGAAAATTGTCTTTGGCTCATCTCTTTTTCTACCTTTCATGTCTGGGATAGCAGTAAGCTCTATTTTTTTAATCAAAATGTTCCTTCCTCTTTACAGGTAGAAATGACTTGATATCTGAGATTCCCTTGAAAACAGGGCTGCTCATACTTTATTGTGTATAATTGTTTAAGCTGTGTGATAGGGCTCAATAGGAAATGATTATACTGAGCTCTCTGAGGATTGATTGAAATTTTTCATACTAAAAAGTCATACTGTTTTTTCATTTCTGAAGTCAACACCCATGAAATCTGCCTCTCCTAAGTATCCTGATTAAGTCTGATTTTTTAAATAACTGTCTTATTCAAGAACCATAAGTAGTGGCTTCTTTCTTACTGCTCTTTTACCTGGCTTTTTAAATCCTCCTTGAAAGTCTGTTACCATCCAGCTTTGTTCTCATAGTGTCCCTAGTCTAGCCAGCGTCTTCTCAGTTTCCCAGTACTTCCATGTCTTCGTTTTCATTGCATACTTCCACTAGAATACCAACCCTTACTCTTCTACTCTTAAAGTCTTCCTCATCTGTCAAGCTCCACTGCATCCTTTTAAACTTCCTGCAGTTATGGCAGCTAGATCACTGAAGTGATCTCTCATTTTGATAAACTTCTGAAGTTCTCTTAGTTTTTTCAGGATCATTCAACTGTGCCTTCAATCTTATGTCATTGGTGTTGTTCATTAATTGCATTATGTGTTAAGCTTTGTACCATCGTAGCTATACATAGTACAACCTCAGTAAGTATTATAGTTGTTTAACTTATAAACTTTATGGATTGGGGGAAAATGCCAAAAGCATACCTACACAGAAGTATGAATTTAGCTGCTTTTTCTTAAATTTCAGGCTCGTGGTGCAGAGAGCATTATGTTAAACCTAGCAGGACAGCTCATCATGATGCAGAGGGACAGGTCAGGCCCACAGATCCGGGAGAAGGACAGTAGCCCTAACCAAAGGAAACTTGTGAGTAAAGTACAAGTCATTTCACTTCAAACATTAGGAAGGTATGGGATGAGGATAAAGGAACGAAAGAATTTAAGAGAAGAGTATTTTATGATTTGGAAACTGAAAAATTAGGTCCATAGAATTAGTGTTAAGCCTCTGAGTATAAGACTGACTGACTGGAGGATAAGGTCCCAAAATGATCATGACATGTTCCATACTTCATATGTTATTGCTTAGCCATCATTCACTGAAAATTCTAATGGAAAATAGGGATAGACTGGTGAAGTTCATGGGTTGTTTTGTTTTTTAGATTTAAGTGTGTATGCTTTAAAAGGCAAGATACTTTTATTAACTGTAATTCTAAACAGATCCCTTGCTTTTCCCACAAAGATACTATACTACCATTTGAAAGACTTAGTAAACTAGTACCTAGGAACTTAACCTACAAATTTAATAGGAAAACAACCTGATTCTTGTCTTTCCTTCTCCAGCTGCCATTCTGTCCTCCTGTTGTACTAGCCCAGTCTGTTGAAAATGTCTGGACAACGTGTCGAGCAAATAAACAGAAACGTCACCTTCTAGAGGCCCTCTGGCTGAGCTGTGGTGGTGCAGGGATGAAAGTTTGGCTCCCTCTATTCCCGAGGGATCATCGCAAGCCCCATTCTTTCTTGTCCCAGCGGATCATGCTGCCTTTCCACATCAACATTTACCCCCTAGCTGTTCTGTTTGAAGATGCTTTAGTCCTTGGTGCTGTCAATGACACTTTGCTCTATGATTCTTTGTATACTCGGAACAATGCTAGAGAACAGCTGGAGGTGCTCTTCCCTTTCTGTGTTGTGGAGAGAACCTCTCAGATCTACCTCCACCACATTCTACGTCAACTTCTGGTCAGAAACCTTGGGGAGCAAGCCTTGCTCTTGGCCCAGTCCTGTGCCGCATTACCTTACTTCCCTCATGTGCTGGAGCTCATGCTCCATGAAGTACTGGAAGAAGAAGCTACCTCACGGGAGCCCATTCCCGACCCTCTCCTTCCCACTGTGGCAAAATTTATCACCGAGTTCCCCCTCTTCCTGCAGACAGTTGTCCATTGTGCCAGGAAGACTGAATATGCCCTGTGGAATTACCTTTTTGCAGCTGTTGGAAACCCTAAGGACTTGTTTGAGGAATGTTTGATGGCTCAGGATTTGGACACAGCTGCCTCTTACCTTATTATCTTACAGGTAACAATTCTCTTCTTATAAAGGGGCAAGAATTAATGAGCTTAAACTTAGAAAAATAGAAATGTCCTGGTTTGGCACCATGATTGTGTTTATGGAATTCATAGTCAAATTTTCTCTTTATATCTTTAATTTGAATTCAGACAGATTTCTTTGAATGTCATAAAGTAACATTGCAGAGATTTTTTCCTGTTTGTCCATAATAGGCCTAAAACAGATTAATAAGTTCAGAGCAGTATTTTGAAAATTTAATATATTGGAGAAATTTAATACATGTATTAGAATACATATCGGAACATGTAAGAAATATTACATAAGATTATTGAAATATTATATAAGAAATATAGCAAAGAAAGTATTATTTGGGATATTAGTGAGTTTGAGCTCCCCACAATAGTAGATTTATTTCCTTTTAGTATGGGTTGCTGAAGGGACACTTATTAGAGCATGGTCATAACAGACCACCTTGAGCTAGTCTCCCCAGAGCAAGCCGAGAAGGCTCAGGCCTGCCACAGCACAGACCCTCATAGCACACAGTTTTCTCAAAATAATGGCTTCTTTGCAACTCCTGAAAATTTATTTCATTAGATATTTGACAAAAGGGCTTGACGGTTGATAGGCTACACTTAAAGATTCCTTACAGTTACTGCAAAGTTGTTTTCATTGATATAAGAAGCTAACCATAAACCTGGTTTAAATCTCCACCTGAAGCAGATTTCCTGTCAGCTTCTTTGCTTCATGGCAATGGACTGACACCAGAGGAGACACTCAAGCAGAGAGACCAGGGGGCCTTGAAGTATGATTTCATGGCTAACCCTAAAGAAAAAGACATAGGATTTTTAAAATAGAATCAAAATAAATGCAGCAGTTTTTTGGTTCTGGGTCATTCCCTGCAACTTCAATGATCTCCCTAACAATATAATTTTTTTTTCTCAGCAGAATTTCTAAGTTGCTATGGAATGGTAGATAATAACTACAATTAAAGTTGTCTATTAGGCAACTTTCCATGAAGACCAAGATAGGCAGGTTAAATTTGTGAAAGAAAAATCGAGGATTCTGGATGTGCAGCAGAACTTTACTACTTGCTGTTGCCCAAAGCAATGATTTTAGTCACATCCTTAGAAAACAGCAACAGGAGACAAACCTGACTTTTTTTTGGAGTTGGGCAAACCTCCCTTTTTTTTTTCTTCCTTTTCTGCTGATCTTCAACAATTTACTTAACTCAGTTTCCACACCTGTAAAATACAAATGATATGCCTATCTGCAGAGTCACTGGGAGAAATAAATGAAATAATGAATCAAAGTATAGTATGGTATCTGGCATGCAGTGGGAGTTTAATAAATTATAGTTTACATACCTTAGAAGAGTACTTGCCTCACTTTTCCTTGTACAGTAATTTTTAATCTTACTATTAAACTAACCCTTATGGTGGTGTGGCTACATTCTTTGAGTTTAGAAAACTGTGGAGATAAAGAATTGCTCATATCTTCCCAAATTGTGTAGTATAAAAAGAATGCTGTCCTGGTTGTTTTTGTAGAATATGGAAGTCCCTGCAGTAAGTAGGCAACATGCCACCCTTCTATTCAATACAGCATTAGAACAAGGCAAGTGGGACCTTTGTCGACACATGATTCGATTTCTTAAAGCCATTGGCTCTGGAGAATCTGAGACACCTCCATCCACACCCACAGCTCAGGTTAGTTGCAAAAGTTATACATCTTCTCTAGGCCATACACCCACTTGGCATCTTTCTCTAACACTACTGCATATTGTGTGTAATCCTAGGAACCCAGTTCAAGTGGTGGATTTGAGTTCTTCAGGAATCGAAGCATCAGTTTATCCCAGTCAGCTGAAAATGTTCCTCCCGGTAAATTCAGTTTACAGAAAACACTAAGCATGCCATCTGGTCCCTCTGGAAAAAGGTAAAATAATAAAGATATAATGATATAAAATATAAATATATAGATAAAATATAAAGATGTAAAAAATAATGCTTTCTGGCATCAATGACGCATGGCAATTCAGGACATTTACAAAATTAGGTCTTAAATGAAAACAACTATTTAATCCAATTGCAGTTTCTTTTTCAGTTCCCAAAAAGCAGAGGCCACACAGAAGGCTTCCCTTTTTTCTTCCTCCCAAGTTCACTTCTGTACTCTTTGTATGGTTTCTGCCCCTTTATCTAGAATAGGTTTTGATGTACCTGTTCTGAATGTAACAAACTTTGTTTTTTTGTTTGCTTATTTGTTTAAGACAGAGTCTCGCTCTGTCCCCCAGGCTGGAGTGCAGTGGCACCATCTCAGCTCATTGCAACCTCTACCTCCAGGGTTCAAGTGATTCTCCTGCTTCGACCACCTGAGTAGCCAGGATTACAGGCATGTGCCACCATGCCCAGCTAATTTTCGTATTTTTAGTAGAGACAGGGTTTCAGCATGTTGCACAGGCTAGTCTCAAGCTCCTTGACTCAAGTGATGTGCCCTCCTTAGCCCCCCAAAGTGCCAGGATTACAAGCGTGAGCCACCCTACCTGGCCAAATGCCACAAATTTATTTTTTTTTCCATAAGCTGTTGGGGTACAGGTGGTATTTGGTTACCTGAGTAAGTTCTTTAATGGTGATTTGTGAGATTTTGGTGCATCCATCACCTGAGAAGTACACACTGTACCATATTTGTCTCTTATCCCTTGCCCCCCACTCTCTTTCCCCCCAAATCCCCAAAGTCCATGGTTCATTCTTATGCCTTTGCATCCTCATAGCTTAACTCCCACATATCAGTGAGAACATATAATATTTGGCTTTCCATTCGTGAGTTATGTCACTTAGAATAATAGTCTCCAGTCTCATCGAGGTCATTGCAGTTGTGAATTGTGCTGCTATAAACATGCATGTGGCAAGTATGTTTTTCGAATAATTACTTATTTTCCTCTGGGTAGATACCCAGTAGTGGGATTGCTGGATCAAATGGTAGTTCTACTTTTAGTTCTTCAAGGAATCTCCACACTGTTTTCCATAGCAGCTGTACTAGTTTACATTCCCACGGGCAGTGTGGAAGCATTGCCTGATTACCACATCCACGCCAACATCTATACTGTTGTTTAATTTTTTTATTACAGTCATTCTTGCAGGAGTAAGGTGGCATCACGTTGAGGTTTTGATTTGAAAATGCAACAAACTTTTAAATTACCTCTGATGATAGAGGACCAAAGTAAAAAGGAAGATAGATAAATCTGTAGGTAATCCAAAAGCCTTCTTAAAGTCAGTAATTTTACTCTTCCTTCTAGTTATACCTTTTAATAAAAAATAAAAATTTAGTGCTAATGCATTTGACTTTCCTGTGACCTATTGATTAGAGAAGTTATTAAACAGTGGGGGAGCCAAAGGAATTGTATGCTGGAGAGTGAAACTGCTATTACCTATAGATGGGATATTGTCTTCTGAGAGACGACTATGAATTTACACTAAACATTATCAAATCATGAGAATTTCCTCTGGTTTGTGAGGCCTGTGCATTCCTTCCTGTGTTCTTGTCTCATTTTTTTCCTTACTTAATTCTTTATTTTATATTGTTTATATTCTCTTTTTTTTTTTTTCCCAGGACAGCGTGAACATATGTTTATATTGTTACTACAGTGCCTGGCACCTAGTGAGAGCTTACTGAATCTTTGTTACTGTCATGCTTTACTGTTTATTAACAAGTGCTTACTACATGCCAGGCCCTGCTCTAAGCATTAAATGCATATTCTTTTTTTTTTTTTTTGAGACGGAGTTTTACTCTTGTTGCCCAGGCTGATGAACTCGTGCAACCTCAGCTCACTGCAACCTCCGCCTCCCAGGTTCAAGTGATTCTCCTGCCTTAGCCTCCTGAGTAGCTGAGATTACAGGTGCCTGCCACGACGCCTGGCTAATTTTTTTTGTATTTCTTGTAGAGACGGGGTTTCATGTTGGCCAGGCTGGTCTTGAACTCCTGACCTCAGGTGATCCGCCCACTTCGGCCTCCCAGAGTGTTGGGATTACAGACTTGAGCCACTGTGCCTGGCCAGGTCCTTTAAATAACTCTGAGAGTTATCCACATTGCATAGGTGAAGAAACAGAGGCCTAGGAAAATAAACTTAGTTATGTTCACAAAACAAATGAGTGGCGGAGCCAAGATCTGAATCCAGGCAGTCCTGCATTAGAGACCAAGCTCTTTACCCAACCGCTAAACTGCCTCTCACTTAAAGTACCACATTATCCATTTACCAATCCAGTTCCCCCACATTAGCTCATGTGAGTCAGGGATGAAGACTATACATAGTCAAGTTGTAATTTATAAAAGTTGGTTTTAGGACTGTCAAGGTGGCTCACACCTGTAATTCCAGCACTTTGGGAGGCCAACGTGGGAGGATTGCTTGAGGCCAGGAGTTCAAAATGAACCTGGGCAACATAGCAAGATCCCATCTCTACAAAAATAAAAATAAATTAGCCAGGCATGGTGGCAGGCACCTGTAGTCCCAGCTACTTGGGAGGCTTAGGTAGGGAACATAGCTTGAGCCCAGGAGTTGCAGGTTGCAGTGAGCCATGATCACATCACTGCACTGCAGACTGGGTGACACTGTGAAACCTTGTCATTTAAGAAAAAATAAAATTGGTTTTCTTTTCATATATCTGCAAGACTCACACTGAGAAATTTCATTTCATTTTGCCTGTCTATCCTTAGTTTCTTTGATGTGTTCTCCTTCCCTTTTCTCATTGGGCTTTTCAAATACAGCATGGGTTTGTTCCCTTTCTTTCCATCAGCCACTCATCACTTGCTTCCCAGTCTGACTTCTTCTGTCCCCTTTTTCCTATTCCTGTATTCATTCTACAAATGTTTTAAAAGCCTACTGTGTTCCAGGGGTTGTGGTGTCACATGGAGGAGAAGTCCTGATGCTTTATCTTCATTGTCAACTAGAATTGGTTCTTGGATCGCTTGTTTCCTTGTCATCTTTATCAGTACTACTGCATAATAAGTCCAGTAAAGCTTATTCTGGAGAAATAATCTTGTGTTTCCACTTACAGATGGAGCAAAGACAGTGACTGTGCTGAGAACATGTATATTGACATGATGCTGTGGAGACATGCTCGGCGCCTCTTAGAAGACGTGAGGTTAAAGGACCTTGGCTGCTTTGCAGCTCAGCTGGGCTTTGAACTAATTAGTTGGCTTTGCAAGGAACGTACCCGAGCTGCCCGGGTAGACAACTTTGTAATAGCCCTGAAGAGACTCCACAAAGATTTCCTGTGGCCACTTCCAATTATCCCAGCCTCTTCTATCAATTCTCCTTTCAAAAATGGAAAATATCGAACTGGTAATGTAGACTTTGTGTCACTTGTACAAGGAGAATTGTATTTTACTCCATGTAGTTAGACATTTTATTAGTTGATATTCAAGGGATTATTTTTATTCCAAACTTAGGAGTGGATAAAAGCCAACTTTTTGTACATCAGTTGGAATGTGCACTGCTTGACCAAGGGTGTAAATAAAGTAAAACCTTTTTCTCTAAATCTTATGACCTTGAAGTCTAATTCAAGAATCTAGTCATTCTTGGATTATAAAGAAGTTGAAAACTAGCTGAATATAAAAGCTACCATGCTTATGTTATTGTGGGAAGGAGTTCTGGAACCAGATAGACAAGGACCTCAAAATAAGCTGACAGAACTCATTCCAGGGAAACAGGCCACCTTCTAAACTAGGAGAGGACAAACTGAAAGTGTATATTTTGGTGAAAGAAAAATTTAAAGTTTTTTAATTCAGATCTTTTTATGAAGACTGTTCTAATTATTATTTATGAATATCAAAACCAAAACTTTTAACTTTGGCATTTGGAAACTGCATGTCATCTTAAGAGCCAAAGCAAGTCACTTAGAAGATCAACATAATATATAAGTTTTGCCTAGCTCCAGTAAGAGATAGGATGATGTAACTGTTAGGTAATATTGTGTGGCTAGTCTATTGTGTTACAGTCCCATGTCTCTAGTTTTGGGGTGGCCGATACACTTCAGGGCAGTAATTGCCTTTGAACTGTCTTTATTGGGTAGGCAGATGAAGGAAGCTAAAAGAGCTCATTTGAAAATGTTAGTGTGTGCATTTTGAATTTCTTCCTCCATTTTTTGTTCTTGGACTACTCTTCAGTGGGAGAGCAGCTGTTAAAGTCTCAGTCAGCTGACCCATTTTTAAACCTTGAGATGGATGCTGGCATCTCCAACATCCAGCGAAGTCAGAGCTGGCTCAGCAACATTGGCCCCACACATCATGAGACAGACACAGCTTCATCCCATGGACCACAAATGCAAGATGCCTTCCTGTCACCTTTATCTAATAAAGGTAAATGTCATTTTAAATCCTAGCTCCTCTTCATTTCCTTTGAAGAACATTTATATGCTATAGCACTTCAGAGATGGAGCTTCACTCTTCTTCTAACATGATGGAGGATTAACCATTTGTATCTGCTGGAGAGGTGGACAGTTTGTAAAACAAGGCCAAATTGGCCTTGACTGTACTTTGCCATATTTATTTTACATGAACAAAAAAAATAGTGCAGATCAACATTAATAGATAAATCTTTGTAAATCAATACTGATGATAAGGAAACACTAACGTTGAGCCCCAAGTAAGCAAAATGTTATCATCATATAAAGAATTCCATTTTTATCATAATTAGATGTGGATCAAAAAAATTTTTACTCCATTATCATTTTTTTCCCATTATCATTTTTATATTACTTATTTTCCTTTTGGAATATGTGAGGTGGTAGTATTTTTTATTTCGTCGATAAAAATTTGTGGTCATTTGCTTTTTCTCTTGCTATATAGGTTCCTACGTAATATCCTTCATTTTGCCTCCAGGCCTTAAAAGCTTGTAATATTTACTCTCTGGCCCTTTTACCAAAAAATGCACACCAATCTCTGCTCTATAGTAATGGGTAAATTACAAACTGAAGAGGTTTTGAAGCAATTTATGTTGGTATAGGGTTATAAAGTATAGAAGCTTAAACAGCAGTTTGTCAGAGTTTTTGCAGTTTTTTTAGTGGTCAGGTATTTGTCTAATGTTTGAATATCAGTCGGTCATAACTGTTAACTGAGCTTCTATGTGAGGAGGCTTACAGATCTCATTAGTTTTTTTTTTTTCTAATTGTGGCAGAATATACAATTTATCAGCTTAATCATTTTTAAGCAGTCTGTAGTGTTGATACCCCATTGCTCTGCAGTCAACCTCCAGAACACTCTTCATTTTCAAAATGAAAACTCCGTATATGTTCTTTATTAACAACTTCCCATCAGTTCTTCCCCCCATCCACTGGCAGCCACCATTTTATTTTTTCTCTCTCTGAATTTGAGTATTCTAGGTACTTCATATAAAGGAATCATACAGTGTTTGTCTTTTTGTGACCAGCTTATTTCACTTAGCATAATGTCCTCATGTTCATCCATGTTGGAGCATGTGTTACTCCTTTGTATGCAGATACCACATTGTGTGTATTCATTTGATGGAAACTTGCGTTGCTTCTACTTTTAGCTATTGTGAATTCTATGAATGTGGATATATATAATATTTCTGTGAGATTCTTTTCAGTTCTTTTGGGCATATACATATTCAGAAATGGGACTGCTGGGTGATATCGTAATTCTGCTTGTAATGTTTTTGAGGAATCGCCATGTTTCCCATAGCAATGCACCATTTTACATTCTCAGCAGTGGATGACGGTTCTAATTTCCCCACATCTCACCAACACTCACTTTCTGTTTTTTGATAGTAATCATCCTAATGGGTGTGAGGTGGTGCCATTACTTGTTTTAGAAAACTTTGAATGAGATCATTTCAAATATATTAAAAAGTAGAGATAATATAGTGGGCTCCCCTCAGTCCCCCATGTGGCCATCACTCAGCTTCCATCACTAATGGCCACATTTGTTTAGCGTACTTCCCCCATCCTGTATTAACTGAAGAAAATCCATGACACATCATCTATAAATATTTCAGCATTTTTCCTACAAGGACTCTTTAAGAATTATGACCAAAATACTATTATCCCTATAAAAATTTGATAATTCCTTGATACCATCAAATATTCAATAAGTATTCAGATTTCCAATTATTTCATAAACATCATAATTTTTTATAGGTTGAGTCAAGATTTAAATAAGGTTCACATATTGTGATTGTGTTCTTAATTCTCTTTTCAAGTGGATGTTCCCTACCATCTCCTTTTCCCTTCCTTGCAGTTTATTCATTGAAGAAATTTGATTTTGTGGAGTTTACAACAATAATGATTTTGCTTATTATATCTTCATCGTTTAGTTTAACAGTTTCCTCTGTATTTCCTGTAAATTAGTAGGTGATTGTAAAGACTTGGTCAAATTCTAGCCAGATTTTATTGAGGGAAGTGGGGAAGACTGCTTCATAGGTGGTGGTAGTATGTTTTTTCATCTAAAGACACATAATGTCTGGTCATCTAATTTTTAAAAAATATCTTCTATGTTCACATGGTAATTTTAGCCATGGGTTTCATGTTTTAATTTCAAGATCCTGAGAAATCAACATCTGAGGAACAACTAATATTTAAAATTAAAGGAAAATATATTTTCTACAAGAAGCTGGTTTGTAACTTCTAGCAATTCTTCATCAGGTGATGAATGCAGTATTGGTTCAGCCACAGACTTGACTGAAAGTAGCTCCATGGTGGATGGAGATTGGACAGTGGTGGATGAAAATTTCTCTACACTCAGTTTAACTCAGTCAGAGCTGGAGCACATTTCCATGGAGTTGGCCAGTAAAGGGCCTCATAAATCCCAGGTCCAGCTTCGGTGAGTTTCTGGTCTATTTGAAATCACAGAATGCCCACTCAGAGTATTTGGGCATATAGGTATGGGGCTACTTTCCTAATAATCATTGCACTTCTGTGCATCTTACAGATCCTCCTTAGCATAAATCATTTTGTTTCTGCTTTTATTTAGGTATTTGCTACATATTTTCATGGAGGCAGGGTGCCTGGACTGGTGCATTGTTATAGGCCTGATTCTTAGAGAATCCTCAGTAATCAATCAGATTTTGGTTATTACACAGTCTTCAGAGGTAGATGGAGAGATGTTACAGAACATAAAGACAGGGCTACATGCAGTGGACCGATGGGCATCTACAGACTGGTAAGTGCTGCTTTACCATCTTTATATCTAATATTTTAGGTTGTTGTCTCTTGGTGAATTCTGTCCTTTCACCTTAAGGCTTAGTTATGGTTCGTGTATTATACTTATACATTATTATGTTAGTCAGTGTATAATTTATACTGTGAATGCATGTCACTGACTTAAGATTGATGCAGTGCAAATGAGCTTAGAATTAGACTGGAACTTCAGATTTGCAGTCCTGTGGAAATGGAGGCTATAATCTAAAAATGTCTACTTGAAAAGTCTCAAAGTTAAGGTCCATGTCAATTTAACATTCCTTGGCAGTAACAAGCAAATCCAAATTAGAATTGTGGTGGCAGTTCAGAGCCTTGGTCTCTAGCCCTGTCTTTATTACCAGTTATATGCATATTCAGGGCTAGTTACTTCCCTTACTTGGATCTGGTTTTCCTTAATTGCCAAATGGCTTTAGGTTAGATGTTGTCTGAAGGTCCTTTTTCGAGTCTAAACCACTTTTGGCTTTTCAATTGTAAAATAAAATTTTTATTTGTAATACTGGTTCTAAAACATCAGCCTTTACCCCTAGTGTGCTTAGAAACTTAAGCCGCAGGCTTATGCAACATGCAGCCCCCTCTGTGTTGGGCAGGACACCCAAGAAGCCTTTCCTTCGTACCTTCTTTGCCTCCTCCCTCCCCTCATAATCTATCATTGTCCTTACCATATCAATGCTTAGTGGGAGTTTATCTGTAACATTCTACCAAACCTTTTCAATTATGGCAGATGAGCTCATGTTTTTTTTCTCTACATAGTCCTGGATATAAGCCATTTTTAAACATCATTAAGCCACAACTGCAGAAGCTCAGTGAGATAACAGAAGAGCAGGTCCAGCCAGATGCCTTCCAACCAATAACTGTGGGTAAGACTCCTGAACAGAGTAGCCCCCGGGCAGAGGAGACCAGGGGCTCCTCCAGCCATGGAAGCATCCCCCAGGGTGAAGTCGGGAGTAGCAGTATGGTCAGCCGGAAAGAGGAGGACACAGCTGAAGCAGAGGAGGAAGAACCTTTTCAGGATGGGACTTACGACTGTTCTGTGTCCTAACAGTGAGGTTCCCATCACAATGGGGCAGTATTAATTAGCAGCAGCATGCAACTCTACGTTGTAACCTAGTTGGCTGATTTAACAGGAGAACTCAGTTCAGAGACTCTTTGGTAAAGTATTACTAGATTTTAACTAATTCTTGTCTAAGAAATCTTTTTGACTCCATAAAAATGTGATATAAAGCATCTTTCATAAAAAATTTTTAAGCTGCAGTGAAAAGTAAATATTGTACAGATGTACATGGGAATATTTTGGTTTTACTCAGAGGTTGGTAGCTCTTAAACCATAGGAATTGTTTTGTCCTAGGTGAGCTTACTTTTTCACTACTTACAGCTTCTTATGTTTCCTGGTTCTGCATATGTCCAGACTGCTTTTTTAAAAAAATGCTAAGGTGCTTGCTGTAGTTTATCAGGTACTTAAGCTACCTACCTGTTTGCTCCCTTGGATAGAGCTCGCTGGACTCCTTAAACAGTCCTCCTGAATAGATATCTACCCTGGAGCACAGTATGTGCCAGTGTGATAGAAACATTCTCCTTGGCTTTACTAGCCCCTTAAATCCCAGTCCAGAATTGATGGAAGCTATTGACCTGTGAGTTGATGTGCTTGTTTTAGCAAGCTTGATTCCCATTAGATCAGTGTGGGCACAGGTCTGAGGGATTCTTCTCAATTATGCTGTTAGATACCACTAAACAATTTTATATTAAGGAACAGTATCTTTTTGTGAATACTCTTGTGTAGATATACCCAAAGGCACTGTTCATATTTTTAGGGCTTGTATTGTAATTTGTAAGCTTTTAATGCTGGATTCTGCATGTCTACAAAGATAGAGCTTGCTCCTCTTTGCAAGTTGAGGAAGACAGATTTTTTTGGGTTGGTCATGAAGTAACAGAAATGATCACACTGATCATGAAATGCAGCAGGTTTTGTGCAAATTAATGTAGTTTTATTTATTGCTTTTGTAAATTGAATAAAGATGGACTTCTATGTAAATAGACTGCTGAATCCTGTATTATCACAGCTACTAAAAATTAGTATGTAAAGAATGCATTCTTCATTGTAAACTTAAAATATTTTATGTACTTCTAGAAATGACTTAAATTTGTTTTCATACATTATGAAAACAGAACTGCATACTCCTTAATTGCTTTAGACTAAATACACACATCCACTGTATGTAATTCTAATTAACTTATAACAGTATTAATTTAGACAGCTTGTTTGTACTGTGCAATTTGAACAAGGAATGCAATGTTATTTTTTACAAAAAACTTGTTTATTTTTATAATAACGATGTATTTGATGTGGACCAAATTCGTACCACTATCTAAAACAACCCCTTTTTTCATAGTGCAATTGTAGTTTAGAAACAAAACTTGGTCCTGTCTCCTTGCTTTTTAAAGTAAATGGCTAGATTTAGTTGTCTTAACCAGGTTTCCTTTGAAGAAAAACTCAAAACCGTTTTGAAACTGCTTAGTTCAGAATTCTTCAAAGTATTTAAAATTACTGAGTTGGGTAATATCCTATCATTTACTTTTACATTACAAGTGCAATAATTTCACAAAATAAAACTCCCAAATGGGTGGAGTATGTGATTATTGGTACCTGGTCCTTCTGGTGCTATTTTTATTTAAGTTTTTGTTTCAAACCACCTTTCCCTGAATCTTAAGATAATGTTTTGCATGTGAGTACATGCAGCCCAGCAAGAAACTGAACTCTCTTCTCCTGTTGTAGTCCATTAAGGAGAAGAACCAGCATTGCTTTTGTGTTTGGTGTGAATATTCAGTCAATAAAAATGATTTACCATTATAAAGAGCTGTGATCTTCTCAAATATCTTAAATAAAACACTGTGCTACTGAGTTCATCTCATTCTTGAAAGCAGGGCACCAGTAAGTTAACTGTATTCCTATGGGTTAGGCCATGAATCTTTTTTTTTAAAATAAAATATTCCTTTTTCAACTAATAGAAATAGGTCCCACAGCAAGAAATTTGGTAGGTTTACAGAAAATTTGGTAATTTATTTGTTATATAATTTAATTTTTACAACTCCATTTTTATTTTGTTGTGTTGCTTGGTTCACATATCAACTGTTTAAGCCATAATTTTAGCCAATGAATTTAAATATTCAGTATAATTATTTGAGGTTTACTAGATGCATTTATTAATAAGTTATTTGCTGAAACCAAAACAGGAAGTCATTGGGGTATGGGAATAAAATCAACCTTTGCTTTGTAATTAAAGTTGCTGCTATTTCTGTAATGTGTATTTTTCCCCACTTTGTAAAGGGCAATAAAACCATTACAAAAAGTTTTGTTTATTCATCATCTCAGGTTAACAACAAAAGCCATGAAAATCATCTTTTCATTATATAATTCTGTTTCTTAGAATTTTCCTTACGAAGTAACTAGAAATTCAGACCACTTTATTTAAAATATTTGTTTGTATGTAGATTTAGAATGGGAACGTCAAGAGTTGGCAACATTCTAGATGCCTAACAGTAATCTATTGGTGGAAACAGTCCATATCGATGACACGGAAAATGTTCAAAGTATAATGAAGAAATGACAGAAAATTATGTATACCGTAAGATACCCCACGAAGCAAGCAAAATTTTACATGTAAGTATAGAGGAACCTAGGTGTCATTTCTAATAAGTGGGATTAAAAATTACTTTGACTTTTTCCCATTTTCCTAAATATGCTTTGTCTCCATGGATTTGCCTATTCTGGACATTTCATCTAAATGGAAACACACAGTATGTGGACTTCTGTCTCACTTGGCACCAAAACATGTTATTGTTAGTTTGGCTGTAGCCATCCAAAGTTGTATATGAAGTGGTATCTCATCATAGGGATTTTCATTTTCCTAATGGCTAATGTACATCTTCTCGTAGGATTATTAGCCATTTGTATATCTTTGAAGAAAAATGTCTACTTATGTCATTTCATTATTCATTTGCTGGAGTTCTTTATGTTCTAAATACTATTTTATATATATATAAATTGCAGATATTTCCTCATTCTGTTGGCTTTCTTTTCACTTTTTTCCCCTAGGCTTCAATATTCAAGGTTTTGTTTTTTTTTTTTTTTAAATGATGTTAATTACAGCATTTGAAAAGGAAGATAAAATTCCACACAAAATAGAAGACTCTAAAATGTACCCATTAATACTGCTAAAAAACAAATTGGTAAGAATACAACAGAAGTCTGATTTAGGTTCTGAGTGTCGTCACCATGTGATTACAATCACACAGTCTTTCATTTCACTTTCATTTTGATTAAGTCAAACTTTTTTTTCTTTGGTTGCTTGTGCCTCATCCAGTGTTATGAATATTTATGCCTAAGTTTTAAGAGTTTTATAGTTGCATCTCCAGTTTTGTATATGATATAAAAGATATGATTTCATTCTTCTAACATGTGGCTACTGTCAGAGCACCATTTATTGAAAAGATTTTTTTCCCATTGTCAAAAATCAATCAAGTATAGCTATATGAGTTTATTCATAGACTCTTAATTGTATTATGATGATCTGTAATCTCTTCCTATGCACATACCACATTGCCTTGATTTCTGTTGCTTTGCAGGAAATTTTGAACGTGGGAGTCCTAAGTTTGTTTTTTCTAGGCTGTTTTGGCTAATCTAGTTCCTTTCTATTTCCGTATGAATTTTAGGATCCGGTTATCAATTTCTCTACTAAACTAAAGGCATTTGAGATTTTGATAAGGACTGTATTCATGACATAAAGCAATGTGGAAAATATTGCCATATTAATCCTTCCAGTCCATGAACATGAGATGTCTTTCCATTTATTGGGTTTTTAATGTCTTTTAACAGTGAATTATAGTTTTTAGTAAGTCTCATACTTTTATTATATTTATTCCTAAGTATTTTATTCTTAATGCTATTGTAAAAAAGTGGAATTTTCTGGTTTTGGATTGCATATATAAATACAGTTGTTTCTGTATATTGACATTGCATCATGCAACACTGAACTTTTCTTTTTCATGGATTACTTAGGCTTTTCTGTATTGACGGTCATGTTGTTCGCAACCAGAGACAGTTTAAACTCTGCCTTTTCCATCTGGATGCCTTTTCTTTCTCCTGACAAACTGTCCTGGATAGAGCCACCAGTACAATGCTTTATTAAATGGCAATAGTGGACATCCATGTTGTCTTCTGATATTAGGAAGAATCTTCCTTTCATCACTAATTATGATGCTAACTGTGGGTTTTTCATAGATAGCCTTTATCTGGTTGAGGATGTTCCCTTATGTATAGTTGGTCTTTAATAAAGACAAACCCACGTGACTGTTTCAATAGATGCAATGTACGTTTGTTGAGTGTTTTCATCATGGAAGGGTTTTGGATCCAAAACCCCTTCCATGATGAAAACACTCAACAAACGTACATTGCATCTATTGAAACAGTCACGTGGGTTTTGTCCTTTATTAATATGGTACATTACACTGATTTTTGAATGTTTTTAAGAAAGAGTTTTGCTCTGTTACCCAGACTGGAAGGCAATGGCACAATCATGGTTTGCTGCAGCCACAATCTGCTGAGCATAAGCCATCCTCCCACCTCAGTTTCTCTAGTAGCTGGGTCCACAAACATACACCACCATACCCTGCTAATTTTTGTGTTTTTAGTAGAGACAGGGTTTTGCCATGCCGTCCAGGCCAGTCTCAAACTACTTGGCTTAAGTGATCTCCCCACCTCGGCCTCCCAAAGTTTACAGCATGTGCCACCGTGCCTGGCCAACTTTCTAATTTTAAGCCAACCTTGAATTTGTAGCATAAATTTCTTTTGGTTATGATGTCGAGCCAAATTGTAGAAAAGAAATTATCAACCTGTTATATTTTTACAAATCAAATATGGAAGTAGAAGGGTCAAAAAATGCACTGATACACCCCAAAACTCCCTAAGAAGTATTTTTTAAAAAGACAAGAGCCATAACTGCATCTTGGCTTTATTGGCTCTAAAAGAAGAAGGGCCAAGACTGCATCTTGGCTTTACTGGCTCTAAAAGAAGAAGGGCCAAGAAGAGAATTATTCTTTTAGGGCCAATAACGGGATAGAAGTTGTTCAGCTGCTTCACCTTGTATTGAACTATTTCTGAGAGAATTCACTCAGAAAGGTTAAATAACTTGCACAGAGATCTTTGAACTCAAAAGTTCATGCTCTATTTTGGTGAGTGGTGGCACCCTTTCCTTCAGTGGAGATGAGAATAAGCAATGGGTCACTGGCTGAAGGCCAATTTCTTCCATCCGTCCTACCCTTACTCCCCGCACCCCTAAAAGAACACCCTTTGCCCTTTGATATTTTTTTGCTAATGGGGATGATTTAAAACTGCTACATATGCTTAAGCTCAATAGTTACCTAATAATTCTGTGAAATTTACAAGTATCATTTCATTCCAAGATAAGGGATTCCAACTGAAGAAAACATTTCCACGTTACTTGTCCTCATGAGCCATCTAGGTCGTTTCTGTGGACATGGAATAACCCTTGAAAACAGGGGGATACATAAGAACACATATCTGTTTTTCTGTTAAAAAGATACCAACCAGTATATTAAAAAGTTTATTTCAGTAACATTGTAAGGCAACAATTAATTAATCCTCAGTAAGTCAGTAAACCAGTGATAATAAATTGATAAACACTCCTACAGCTTCCTGAGTCAGCAGGCTGGCTTGTGGCTCCCTCAGTAGTAATATCTTTAAGAATCCTATCATGCTTGTTTGTATATACTAAACTGTAGAAACAAACACTTCATTTGACAGTCATTCTTAGGTCAAACACAAGAACGAACTACTGTGAAATCATAATTCTTCACACATTTTCCCTGAATAAGCAGTACTGTACTACTAACATTTAAATTCTGCAGAAAATAATGCATTTGTTAGTGACTGTGTTCGAGCTTGAAAAGACTCTTTTAGAAATTAAATGATCAGATATTCTTTAAGAAAAAATTTAATCTCAGCATCTTCCAATGTGACAGACTGTGTGCTTAACAGAGCCATAAATACTTTCGATAATTACTTGACCATTTCTGGCATTAAAACAACCTCCCAGAATGTTACACAAGCCCTGAGACTAGTGTGAGCATCTTATTATTGACCTTGTACAATACCAAAGCTTCATAATGCTAAAGAAAACCAAAACAAAGACAATGGTTTACACAGGGAAATAACCCAAAGGCAAAAGGAAAACAGTGATTTATTACTGAAAAACAGTAAAGGCATCCTTTCCAAAGTGGATGTAAATCACAGGGAACACTAATTGTATCAGATTAAGCATGGGGATGCAAAATAGGCCTATATTTTAAATTCACTGAAAGATTATTACTTTTTCTCCACAACTGTGATTCTGTATAAGATATAAACCCTACAAACCTTATATGCTACCTGACAGATAAAAGTAGCAAGAGCCATACTCTTGAAGCACTTGAGACCGATTTCTACAAAGTCCAGAAAAAGCAATGACTCCAGTGTGCAGTGCTGATGCATGTGACAGCCCAACGTGTTATCATTCAGCTCTGGCTGCAGCCCTGCTATACATGGCCCCAGTTAGTTTTTAGGGAGTCACAGATTGGGCAGGCAAGGAGGAGCAGGATTTTAAAAGCACGTCATACACATTAGACAAGCAGCCTAAGGACGTTTTCCTCCTGCATTGCACACTTACTGTGCTCTTTCTATTCAAATAGATCCACAGGCCACCTTTCAAGAGCATTCCTCTCTCATTTCCTCCATCATCCAAGATAAATCTAGCTACCCCTCTTTGTTTTAACTGTGCCTTCCAACATTTTACATTTCCTAATGGTAAAATGAAAGCTTGCACAGTTTACCACTGATCTCATGAACCCCCTCACTGCTGGACCAAAAAGCCATGAGAGGTACTGCTATGATATACCTTACAAGCTACACGGCCATCTTCAAAATGAAAACCACCTTTAAGTCCTCATGCTGCCATTATGCAGGATCTGAACCACCTACAGGTACAGCGGTCTTACTCCAGTATAAGCCACAACCTCAAGTCTCAGGAAAGCCAGCCTGCTGGATAGTAAGTTACTGAGAAAATCTATTCAACTGGCTGGAAGACAAGAAGACATAAGATTATGCCATAAAGGATTAAGCTTGTATAACACAAGACTCGTATGAAACAAAAGAATAAATATTTATAAAATGCCCACTACTCCCAGCCTGCCTTCTACCCCAGAATAGCCCAGGTGGCAGGTCAGTGCTCTGAGGAAGTAAGTTAAGGTCACATAGTTGCACACACAATATTCAGAACCAAAAGAACCTACAAAAACGAGAGGGCTATGTGGCCAAATATTCTTGTTTTCAAATTGGTAAGATGGAGAGAGGTAACAGACATGTTTCAGAGGAAAACAGCATAGCAATGTATCTGAGTGTCCACTTGTCAGGACAGTGAGTCATCAGCTCAGCTTCGGGTCCAGGCCTCAGTATAGAGACACAAAGCACACTCGAGAGGCTGCCTGAAGAAACAGCTAAGCACAGGCTACGTCTTCAATAGTGCAATGCTTCTCCCCCAGCCCTATGGCAATCACTTCAGTGACCCACACAGAGTTATAGTCTCAAGGGGAATCATTACCCCAGTGAGTGATATTTCACCAACCATCCACTAATACGACAAATGGTCTTGGAGCTTAAATTGGAAACCACTTTTATCTCATTAACGATTGTCTGACAGTGTACTTCTTTCTTGATCCTAAAGGGGCGGCTATTGAAGTGGTTTGTTGGCTTTTGTCCTTAAGATCACATAAAATAACATGTGTGTAGTGGCAGTACCCACATGTGCTTACATGCCAGAAAATGCATTTTCAAGTGTCAACAGGCCATGCATCATTGTGCCACAGCTTAACCCTTATAGTGCTTAGCCCTGAAAAGTGTTAACCCAGAAAGCTCTTTGAACATATGCTCATTAAAATTCATTGACTTACGTTACAAACATCCACATAACATAGGGAGAAACCATGTCACATGGTGTATCCACTGGGCATGTACTTAGAGCTCATCCACAAGATTAAAACACAAAGAGGTCGTAGGTGCACACCCAGGCAGAGGGAAATGTCCAATCTGGAAACTTCTCCTTCAGAGCATCCAGCTGAGGGGATCTCTTGTCTTCCCCAGATAGATAGTGGGCAGCAATGGCCACAGTGACCATTCCTTCGGGATGTTCTTCAGAGACCTGCCAAAGAAAATCAATTAGTTCTTCAGTTCTTGGAAGCCAGAATACTGAACCCAAGGTTCTTGCTAAATACCACCTGGGAACCTAATCAATGGAACAAGCAATGCTGGGAAATGTGCACCTGCACTTCTATCCAGAACTGCCATGCAGAGGCCTTGAGTCCATGGGAGTAAAAGACAAAGTAGTCTCCTCCTTTACTTGTGACTGGGGTGCCATTGCCAAGAGACCACTGAGAGAGTGTTGACCCTTTGTGGGCTCGAACATAGAAGGACATATGGCTTGGTCCTATAAGGTAGAAGGAAGAAAGAACAGTTAGTCTTCTGAAAAGGATAAAATAACCCACAATCCAAACCAGATTTCATAAAGGTTCATGCCTGTATGACTCTAAGTATACTCACTATAAACCTAATGGAGGTTTACCAGTTTGAACACTCAGCGTGAATCAACAAGCTTAAATAATGAGGTAGTGCAGAAAAGACAGAGTCTAAATGAGAATGCCTTAGTTTTAAGTTGGTCCTGTCACTTAATTGCTGCATGGCATCAGGAATTAATCTAAATCACAATTTATTCATCTGTGAAACACATTTTTTTGAGGGGATTACCTTAGAAAAAGCATATGGAAGTGTTAGCAAAACTGCAAAGTGCTAACAACAGTACTGAATATGACTGTCATTATGAATGGAGTTTGTAATTTTCAGAGTTGATCATGTTAACGCCCTAAAATATGTTTTATTAGTTTGTCCCTTCAAGCTGGAAAATAACTGCTCAGTTCTGAAAATTTAGTTATCACTGGGGACTTCCAAGGAAACTGATGACAGTGGGAAACTAAAACTAAAACAGATAAAACTAAACCAAAACACACCCTCAGCCTAACTTGAAAATAGAGCATACCCACATTTGCAATAAACATAAATTTATAAATCTTGGGGAGCAATCTCACATACTTGTGCCCACCCTGCTAATGCTGCAAAGCTTTCTGGCAAATGCAGGCCAAGTAAGCCCACCCTAAATCTGAAAATACTACTATAGTGTCCAGTCAAAGGTTTACAGGGCAGGGACTTAAAAGTACACATTATTGAACTAACAGTCTTCAAAAGCAAAGCT